CCCGCCTCCAAAGTTTCCGACAAGGTGGAGACTCAAACTTAGGATATTATCAAGACTAAATGAGTTCTTTTCCATTAGGCCAAACATTTGGAGTAATGTTCGTACAAGTTAACAAATAAACATAAAAAATTAAAAATAACCCATAATTAAAAAAAGTTGATGAAAAATAAATAAATTAGTAATTTAATTTTAATGATCTTTTATTTCTTATTTTTATTTTTCTAATTTTTGTATGTCAAAATATTTCATGGGTTCACAGTAAATTTGCTAAAGGACTAGCAAGGCCCATTAGGCTCATAACATAAAAAAAAAATCCAAAACGGCCCGACGGGAAATTGGGCCGAGTAAGTTGATATGCATATTCCCAAAGTTAATCTCAACCGGAAATCTGAATAAAACAACCATCCCTGCCGTTGGATTTTTTCTTTATAAGCCCTCTTACCCCTCAAACCCTAGGGTTTTTCTCTCGTCTGCCGAAGCCTGTGTGCTCTTCCTCAGTTTCTCTGACAGGTATGCTCGTAATTCTCGTCAGTTTTGCTCTGTTTGGTTGCTAATACAATGCGAGAAAATGAAGGAAAGATCTTGTTTTCTGTATCCTTAGTCTGAGTTTTTTTTTATACCGAGTCTGTTATGTACTGTTTGGTTGCTTGGAAAACGGGAGAAATGGAAAGAAAATTACTTACTATTTTGTTCTTTCTGTAGCTCAAATAGCTTTTAGGTTTTCTTCTTACTCAGCAACTGTAATGTTACTGATTGATAGAATTTGATGTTTTAATTTAATTTTGTTTTATTCTTATCATTTAGGTCTAAAGGAAGCTTAACTAATTATATTTATTCAGTAAAAGATAGCAAGGGATTTACTGATTTGTGTAAAATAACAAAGACTTTTATTATAGGATTTGAAAGATGTACGAGTCTGACAAAAAAATCTTTGTTCTCTCATTCTCTTGTCCAATTCGTTTGTACTTGTTTACACAACTCATTCATAAGGCATTATCAGCACTTATTATTTAGTAAATATAAAATCTATGAGAAGAATAATAAGAGAACAAAAGTGGAAAGCGCTTAAATATATGATACAGTTGTATTGTTTTCTAGATAACTTGGGTTACCTAATAATTTTGCCTTCACTCCCCAGTAATGGGATAAGTGACAATAAAGTATGCGGCAAGCGGTGGGAGCCTATCTCATCACAACATTCTCCCTTGGATTTCCACTTTTTATATATAGTTGTGCATGGCTTTGCTAAGGAAAATTCCATTGGGTTAAAAACATGAGCGTTATATCATGAAAAGTAGTGGAAATCCGAGTGGGGGTATTGTCATGGCGGATTTCCACCACTTCGCATCTTCCTTTCATGCCACTTATTTATACTTTTGGCTACAACTTATTTGTTGCCTAAATGACAACATGCAAAACTGGGATGACCCAAGTTCTATTTATACCTAGGCAAATGCAATTTTATCGTATATGTATTTGAGATCATAAAGGCAAGTTTTCTCAGTTTTCTATTCTTCTTGTAGTATTTGTATCATATAGTGTATGTTTATGTCATAGTACAATATATTCATGAGTATAGCTCTGGAAGAATAATACACTTTTATTGGAGTCATGATCAACTGGGTAATTGTTGCTCCAGGTGAACGTTTAAAATTATTGTGAATGTTCTAGCATAGGTTCAAGATAAGCAGCATGCTCTCTTTTATGTAGTAAAAAACTAAAAATGAAATGGTTAAGTATCTTCAAAATTTTAAATTTACTGTTAGTGAGAAGCAATTGATTTGGGTATAATATAAATTTCTTATTAATTAATTACTTCCTTGCCTATATTTTATCAGTTGACTCAGAATAGTGAAGATGTTTTCATCAAAGAAGAAGATTCACAAAGATAAAGATGCTGAACCAACTGAATTTGAGGAGTCAGTTGCACAGGTTCTAAATAAACTTTCTTAAAATACACTGGCGAACTCGATGTGAAATTTAAAACATTGGAAATTAGATTTCATTCTTTCTCTCTACTGTTGAAATAGGCACTCTTCGATTTGGAAAATACCAACCAGGAGCTGAAAAGTGACTTAAAGGACTTATATATAAATTCAGCTATGTAAGAAAATGGTTAACTTTCATAGTTAATGCCATTTTGATTCTGGCTCATTTTATGCATGGTACTAATTTGTCCTTCATGCAGGCAAATTGATGTTTCCGGGAACCGGAAGGCTATTGTTGTCCATGTCCCATACAGGTTGAGGAAGGCTTATCGCAAGATTCATGTTAGGCTTGTTAGGGAACTTGAGAAGAAGTTCAGTGGGAAGGTGATCATAGATTACTTGGTTCTCTTAAAATTTGTCTCATTATAAAGCCATCATATAAACCATATGAAATTTTTATTTAGTACTGTATCTGAAAGTGTTATATTGTGCATGGTGCTTATGTGGCTTGAGTTGTGGTTGCTTATAAATGAAGGTGTCGAAAATCTAAAATTTTGTTGCATCATGTTTCATAAGACGCTATTTGGGAAGGAAATTCTGACTGGCTTTATTAGTTGGAATAGTTGATTGATACACTGCTATGTTAATGTTTATTTTATGGTCTTTTATTCTTCTTTTGTTGGAATGCAGTTAGATCGTCTGTAACATTCTTATTTGCATTCATACATCCTGCATCTGAATCTGTCTAAAATAATTTATCTGTCTATGGAATAGCCAAATTATGAGAATGTGAGTTATGCCCAATAATTTCATTTCTAAACGCTGTGAGTGAAATGCAGTAATAACCCTGTTATATTTTCTTCTACAATATTTGTTGATTGTGATTACATTTTTGGCATATGGTAGGATGTGATTTTGATTGCCACCAGGAGGATATTGAGGCCTCCAAAGAAAGGATCTGCTGCTCAGCGTCCCCGCAGCCGCACACTCACTGCTGTGCACGAGGCAATGCTGGAAGATGTTGTATTGCCTGCTGAAATTGTGGGGAAACGTGTAAGATACAGACTTGATGGATCGAAGATAATGAAGGTATGTAGTTATAACCATCTAAATTTAGGAATGATGTTCAGAGAAGTATTATTAGGAAAAAGTTAGGGCAGGCAATGGAGATTCCTAAATTGTTTGGTTGACGCACAGGCCTAATTAATTCCGTAAATTATTTATTAAAAGTGGTCATTTGTAATTATAATTGTTTAGTTGTGTATTTATCTTAATTCTTTCCTTCAATTGACAGGTTTTCTTGGATCCTAAGGAACGCAATAATACCGAGTACAAATTGGAAACATTTGCTGCAGTTTACAGAAAGCTTTCAGGCAAAGAAGTCGTGTTCGAGTTCCCTCTATCAGAGGCTTAGAATATTATAAAGTGCCATGCCACCTTTCAAATGTTTCTTCCCTGAACCTGTTTTACTTGTCATTTTCTAAAATTTTGAAATTTAGGTGTTCTTAGAAAGCAGGATACTGTTACGTTGGATTTTATTTTCGCTGGCTAGTATGATATTTTCAGTGTTGCATTTTGGATTCTGAAGTCTAATATTGTGATGATATTTGCATTTTGCAATCTTATTCATTAACTTGCATTGGTATTTGTGGTATAACAAATATAAAACGTGCCTGACTATTTATGTTTTTCCCAAAAAAAATAAAAATAAATAGTGTTTGAGATACAAGATGTTTCAAAACCGTATAATTGATCCCTACTTTTCTGCAGTCTATTCTCCCTATTTTAATTCCGGACTTAGTTCTGTTCAACTGCAATCTTGTGTTTTCACCTCTTTTTAGGATCCTAAGCTGTCTTAATGTGAACTTAAAAGTGATTGGAATTCATGTAAAAAGTAGCAGGTGGTTTATTATTTGTTACTTTTTTAGAATAATATTTTGAAAAAAGTGAAATTGAATGATTATTATGATGTAGAATTTAAAAATTAATAAAATTATCTTTTTAGGTTTGTTTATTTGTTAAATACTTCTACAATAAAATATTAAAAATTAATAAAAATATCTCCGCCGACAGTCGGTCATTACTGTTGGAAGATAGTTAGAGTTGTTGTATCGGTATACGATCAGTCAAATTCAATCGATCGTGCGTCAATATGGCTTTTTTTGACCAGATTGACGGTGGATCTGACTGGAAAAATCTAGATCTACGGTTAGACCTGGTCGCATTTGGTCGTCAACGATGGCCAATGATATGGCCATCATTGATGATCAATAACAGTCATATCTTAACCGTCGTTCACGACTAGCTACAGTTAGATCTTTGGCCTTAATCTAGCATTTTTCAGCCAGATCCAATCGATAGTACGTCATTATACTAGATTCCAGCCAGCTTTCGGTGGTGGTGGCTGGAATCTGGCAAATGTGGGTTGCTGAAGTGATTTTGTCAATTTCTAAAAAAAAAATTGGGGATGTTTAATTAAATTAACAAATCTAAGGGGTTTAAAATGAAATGAATACAAATATAGGGGATTTAAAAGAATTAAATAATATAAAATAATATTTTTAAAATAAGGAAATAAATGTGTATTTTGGATGGAATAGGGAATAGAGTACTGAAAAATTGTGTACAAAGGGGGCCTCACTATTCTGTCAGTTGCAAGCTCCTATTCAAAAATGCTACACCAATAACAATGGCGACATATCCACACTATCAAAAACCCTTTTTCCCAGTTGAGATTAGTGCTGGCGACCAACTTACAGATAAAAAGAAAAATGAACAGATTGTCTTTGATTTCGGATTATATATTGTCTTCAAATATAGAATATAAACACTGAAGTTAGCATCAAGAGAACATCTCCTCAAGAAAAATGAGATGGGCAGATGGCACTCCTGAAGTATATGAAGTTGCATTTGTGTTGTGTCAGGGCTTCTCAGCAATTAGAGAACTTCAACCAGAACTATTGAGCCTATACATATGTGATGGAGACAATTGAGATTACCAAAAACTGGAGTGAGTTTCAGATTACTACCCAATATAACTTGAGAAAGTTTATTGTACAAGCAGAATGTACCTCAAGACAATATTACGAGACCAAGGTACATGGCTCCGCAGAGAAATGCAAAAGATATTAATCCCCTGCAACAAGAAATCATTATAATCAGAGTGATGCAATACATGTTAAACATTTATTAATGTTCATGTTGATGTCCACAAAGAAATAAATCTTCATGTTGATGTCAACCATTAACCACATATTATTTTCTTCTAAATGGCACTTACCAAATGATGCCCCATCCACTACCACTACATGGGCAAGGACACTCTTCTGCAAATTTCTCGGCGTCACTAGAGTGAACTCTTCGTGATATTAAATCATCATATATATCTGCATAAAATGAAAACAGTAGGCGTCACTAACGGCACAAACAGATAGACTGATACCTAGATAAAATCAGTTTTGTTTCAGAAATCATACCATATACAGAAAACAAGCTGTTCATCACACCTGCAGTTAGTAAGCCGTGATTCTTTATGCCATCACAAGAAAAGCATTATAGTGAAATTCACTAAACAATATGGAACCTGAAAAACAAAACTTTATTTACCAATAAAAAGAATGATGTACCGAAGTATGCGGATTTTTGTTGTTTCTTGCAGAACCCATATTACACCAAGGAAAACAACAAAACCTAATATTCAATATCAATATTTACATAAGAATGTGCATATCAGGAAAAGCAAGAATTATATAGGTTATGAAAACACATACCAATACAAAGTCCTCTAAGTGTCCACTGCAGAAACAATAGGAGAGATTTTGTTAAGCACAAATACAAACAAAGAGTAAAAAGTTTTGAGATTGCGTAGATCTTTAAGAGGCCACAAGCAAAAGCACAATAAGAAACCAAATTATTATTAATAAATTTCTTTGAATTTTTTTACAGAAGTGAAATGAGTGCTTCCTTTTTTTTTTTATATATCTGATGAAAAAATAGTTTTAACTTTCATTTTATTTGGTTAATTTGGCATTCCAATTCCAAGTGGGTAAAGTTTTGTGAATTATATTACCATATAAATCTCTAGTATTTTCAGCCTTCACATATTATAGTGCCTTCCACAAATGAAATGAAGAAAAGAGTATGAAATACTTCAGATATCCACAACCACTTACGTTTTTAGCTACACAAAGTACAACAAGCAAAGCAAGAACAAAGCACCCTGCAGCAATTCTTGCAGTAAGAAGATTTGTGGATGCTAGTATCAGTAACATTCCCCAGAAAGACGAACCAAGATCTGGAATGCAACAATAAAGATGAAATTAGTCACAAAGAAACAAGTACAGTTACCTTTGAGGTTTCTGAGCTCAATATTGAATAGGATGCAATCCAGACCATATGTAATGACAAATCCAGAAATACATTTGGAAATTTGTAGTTCCATGTTGGATAAAAGCAAAAGATACAACAAAATGAGAAAAAAGGTCAAGGATAAGAGAAACTACATCCAGCCGGCAAAATACACCAATATATGCCACCGCGTGTTGTTGTGGTTCCACCTTCGTCAGCATGAACCTGGATTCCTTCCACCTACATGCTAAAGTATATGAGCTATAGGGATCCACAAGCGTTTCGTAGATGAAAAAATATCAGTATGTAGTAGCTGCTACCAAATGTAAAAACTACATGAAATCAATAAAGTCACTATGAAATTGAGCATTTAAGAATTTGATCTGCAGCAAGGAAGCTGGAACATTTCCATAATGAGAAGAAGGAAAAAACATTTAGTGAATGCAAAAACCATTTCCTAGCTTAAACTGATCATTTCATTAATTGAGATATTAACTTACCAATAACTGCATCACTACATAAAAGATTGAGACTCAAATAAAGATACAGAATTCAAAGTTTCTTCAGTGCATTTTAAATATTAAAGGGAGGACAAGAAAATGAAGATGCAACAGGCAGCATGGTTGTGATTTAAGTATCTATGACAAATTGATGGTAATGATATAAAGCTTAAAATTGCTCTTACTTCGCCACACGTAAGTTTACAAGCAATCGCATGGCTTGCCTCGTGAAGAAATACTGTCACAAGCTTAAATGGTCTCAGCAGTATTGTCCTCCACAGCTGAAAGCGATAATTAAGAAGATTCAGACCTCAAACACAGAATTGAGAAAACACATTTTAGAAGTACTAACTTAGCAACCCATTCCCACATTAAAATTCCCAAAGTTCCTTACGTATTGCTTTCTATCACCATAAATAACCAATTGATGTTTTCTTCAAAATATTCAATAAATTTCAAGGAACCGAGTTAATATTACACCATAACAGATGTTAACTGAAGCCACAGATTAATTGTAGCTGGATTCTCATAAAATAAATTAGACCAAACTATTTACAATGAAAAACACAAAAGGGAAAAGACTCATTTACCTTAATCAATCAATAGTTTTAAACTGGAAACTATAGTCCATCTAATACTCAATAAAAAATTCTTCCCTTTAAAGCAAAGAAACACAACAACCAAAATTTATGAAGATAAACAATGACAATAAGATATTACTAAAACACCACCATGACAGCTATCTCCTTAACATTTCAATGAGATTTGGTCCATTTGGATCAATGGGGCAGTTTCCCACTTGAAGAAACACAACCTCACTCTGTTAAAACCAATATTATTAATCAAAGAAAAACAAAATTTAAAGTTTTCTTGTTTTAACCAAATGGGGCGTGATTCATCTATGTAATGCAGTCAAGATTTGATGAGCTAAGAGAGCAAAGAGATATATACCGCAAGTATAACCACGGCGCAAACAGAGACGGTAACAAGAAACACAACTTGTTCATGGTGACAGCAGTTTTTGAGCTCCCAGTTGGGCCTCATCTTGGCCTACAAACGATCTCAGAAATAAAGAAAATCCAAGAACCAGTACTGATCTTCTTTGTAGTAGTTCTTTTGTTTGTAATTGTATTGAGAATGAGAGAGAAAGAGGTTTCTCTCTTGCTCTCCCTCGTCTTGAAGGTTTGTGACCAAAATCAAATGGAGTTGGGTTGTGGTGTTTGAGAATTGAGAGTCAATTATTTGAAGTTGACGAGTGGGAAAAATCGTGGAAACCGTTGAAGAAAAACACAGAGCAAAATGGCGTCAAGCATGGGCACTGTCCCACTATTAATTGTTGAAATTTTTTATTTTGTTTTAATAATCATAATATAATAGTTTTATAAAGGACAATTTTATAAGCCTCCCTAATTTTCTTGTAATTACCATTGCCTTTAAATTTTTGGATAGTAGACACAAATCTCCCTGAAATTCGCTAATTGACAAAAATATTAATTTTTAATGGCCAATTAAGTCATTTTAATTCTACCTTTCTTTTTTGAGAAAATTAAAAAATCTAGAATTATAAACATACATGATGCTTGGAATATGAAGTGTGTCGAAAACTTTTGTTAATTAGAGGCGTTCGTGAGTCATGGGTTCTTTGAACATCAATCTATATAATATTTTCAATGATTAGCTTCGGCCAAATGTTCGACCAACATTTTAATTATGCCTCATATTTTATTTTTTCGAAAATGTTTTATGAGAAATTACTGTATTACCCCTGGCCAGTTATTTTAAATCATTAATTAATAGATGTTAAGGGGTTTTTTTTGTTAATTCCCAAACATTTGGGGCTGACTATTACTTTACAAAACGTCTGTCGGTTGTTAGAAGCTTACCATCACTATATAATATAAAACACCTCAGCCAAAGCTTGACTAAGTTGAAATAAAATAATAAGCATTGTAAAATCAATTTTCAAAATCTCGAATTGGGTAGCAGTCCCATGATCCTTGGATTTGAACTAAAAATATTATTGCTTTGCTGGCATTAAAATGTAAATTTTGTAAATCTTATGTTCAATTTGATAACGAAATTCAAAAAATAAACTTTATTGTTTGTGTACGACAGCTGAGTCATCGTTGGCAATAGGAATAATGATTGGATTAACCCAGAAGAAAATATTATGAAATAAATACTAGGTTGGGACACAGAATATTATTTTATAGAGTAAACGACTTTTTCTCACTGAAGGTTCACACCCAAAAAATTTTAAAATATCAATATCTCATCCAATGTTTTTATGTTGGTAATACTTAAAATACACTTTATTTTCTCAATCAACATTCAATAAGTTACTAAGAGTTAGGATAAGAGAATTTTTATAGAGTAAAGACCGATGGATCGAATAGTGGTGACTAATTAAAAATTCTTCACCGAAATCAGTCAAAAATCATCTAAGAATATGAAATTCTAGTTTTACAGTAGCTGACAATTGAGGAAAAACCATATGTCGGAGTGAGAAATATCTTGTAAAGAGGAGACCAGAAGTTCAAATAATGGTAACATATAGAATTTTCGTTATTGGAATCGACTTTGAATATTAACGGAATATTAATTTTAGATGAGAAAGTGGTATTCTAAAACTTTTTGAGTTGAAAAGGTTAATTAAGGCAAACCTTGGGTGAGAAAAAGTTGTTTACTCTTATTTTTATATCTAACGACCATCTCATTATAATAAAACTATTCTTTTTAAGAAAATGATACAATCATCGAAAAAAGATATCGATTTTATGCATTGATAGACGTGATACCATCATCATCGTTGATTAATTATGAATTTTGTTTTTAAAAAAAAGTAGATGGTGCCATATATGTTGGGTGCATGAATTCAGGATACTTTTTCCGGTAACGATAGCTGCTCATCTTTTTATTAGCAATTTTTTATGTCAAATTTAGTAAAGCCATTTTTGTGATTAGACTATTGTCTTTGCACGTCTATAGGGGAGATTTTATAATATGAGGTAGATGAATATAATATAAGTATCATCTCGACTTTGATTTCCACTTTGATTTCCTTTACCTTTAGCAACCTTTCGTCTTCAACCTTCCGCTCTAAAGTGAATCGTTATTCGTAGCAATCACAATGAAAACGACCATAAACAACCCCGATTGGTCCACTCTCCCGGACCATCTGCTCGCCATGATCGGGAAACTTCTCCATGCAAGAGTCGAGGCCCTTCGTTTTCGCGCCGTTTGTCACTCATTTCGCACCTCACTACCTCTTCTTCAACCTTCAACTCTTAATATTCCTGACCCTTTTGATTCAAACAACCAACTTTCGCTCACCCGTTCCACTGTTTACGCCATCGAGCCCCTTCATGAAATCTCCAGTACCCCGCTCGAGACTTCAACATGGTTTGTCAAAGTCAGTGAGTTAAGCTCTGGCAGTGTCCGAGTAGAGGATATTTTCTATAGATTTACAGATCAAAATCTGTCCGAGATGTTACCAAAGTCTTTGAACCTACTAGATTATCGACTTAAGGAAATAACTACAGCATACGGGCTTCTTCAATACCCTATTTTCCAGAAAATAGTCGTTTCTTTGGATGAGTTTGAGATTATGACGCTCTTTAGTGGAGGGAAACTTGGTGTGTACAGAAAGGGAGATGAGGAATGGACTTATATTGATTTTAGTGTTGATGGGATTTTCTTTGAAGATATTGTGTATCATATGGAAAAATTCTATGTTTTGGGCTCCAAGGGTCTTACCATAACTGTGGATTCAAAGTCTTTGGACATTTCTCAAGTTGCAGCCCCGGTACCTACTGCTAATGGTTTTAATAAGTACTTGATCAAGTCATTGGAGGATCTTTTCTTCGTTGATAAATCTGAATTTGATAATTGTTTGGAGAAAGGTGGCAGTAAAAGTTACCCGATTCATTTGAATGTTTTAAAACTTGATGAAGAGAAGCGTGAGTGGATTCGGGTGACGAATAGTTTGGATTTGAAAGACAGTGTTGTTCTGTAGTTCTATAAACTCATTCTCCGTTTTGGCTAAAGAGTTCTTGGATTGTAAAATGGGTTGTATTTATATATCTGATTATGTATTTTCAGAAGAAAATGATCACCCTCAATCGGATGCTGCAATTTTTGACTTAGAAGATAATACTCTTGTGGCACTTTCAGACTTTCCAGGCAATACTAACATTTTCTGGCCCCCTCCACCTTGGCTGAAGCACTAACAGTACGTGATTTACTTCATTCTGAATAGTTTGATACTTTCAGAAGTTTCTATTTTTAATGTAATCTCATATTGTGCATTTCTGGGAATGGTTTGAAGCTCCATGTCGCTAAGTAATTCTTATTCATCAGATTTAATACAATCCCTGTTTTGTTATTCTCTTTTTGTTGATTGAAGCCTCTATTATAATCGTCAAAATTCCTCAGTAATATAATCGTCGTTGAGTACTATAAACAGGCGAAAAGTAAACACACATACGGGAGAGACTTCTTTGTCAAGTAAATAAACACCAGCAGATTCAAGAAACAGCTATTTGCCTTCTAATTTTATATTCACTATAGTCTATATATAACATCAAAGCAACTTAAATCATATAACAAATAAAATGAATAATACAAAAAAAATAACTAAAACTTTACACAGCCCTAATTACTCACTATTATGAATGAGATCATCTACCTTCATCAATGGAAGAATAAGAGATGGAGTTTCTGGAAAAATCCTCAACAAAACTGTTACCTCCAGAAGTCCTAGTAACACCGGTGCTGGTACTAGTAGCATTAGTATTTGTATTGGCATCAGTACCAGTTTTAGTGAGAGCAGTAGAAGTGGTAGTTGTCCAACGGCTTGCACGCCCTTGAATTCCAGGTTTACCTGGTCTAGGTAACGTAAACGAATCACTTGAGAGCATGAGGTGAACAGAGTTCATGTCAGGCCTATCTGCAATGCTTTGTTGACAACATAACAAGCCTAGCTGAATGCACATTGCCGCTTCATCACGATTGCACTTTGTAAGGCTTGGATCCACCAGTTCCAGTGGATTCCCCTTTTGGTAAAGTGTCCATGTCTGTATGAGAGAGCAAGAAAAATTAAGCACACTGATTCATGAATACTATCAAACTGGTAAAAGCAACAAATTCCAGATTTGGATTACCAAAAATGGAATCTGAATCAAACATGAACACAATCCAAAATATTTGCAGAGAAATAGATTTGAGATATTTCAGAGTCCATTCCAAGTTACGGTTTCAATAAATATTCCTGTAAAGTCCATGAGAAGAAGACGACAGCAATAGTGCATCCCCCAAAAGTTTGAAACATTACCAGCTCAAATCAAATTCACCAGAAGCTCAAAGGCCTCCATTAATTGTCTCCATGGATTATAAAGGTGCGCATGTGGTCATAAGTTAACCTCAGATATCATGCCCATGTTTATTAACCTTATTTATGACAATTGATCATTAGACAATAGCATCGATGGTACCATTACTTTCTGGCTGTGGACACGGAGAGGAAGGTTCATATGTGAAGTTACTTTGGGCAAGAGTAAGATCAGATGAATTCTTCATGGAATTAACTTACGTAGTTCAAGAGGTCCACCTTTTCGGCGCCAAGACTCCTATCTTGGTTTTTTCTTCCACTTACAATCTCTAAGACCAAAACTCCATAGCTGAAAACATCTGTCTTCACAGACAAATATCCATGCAACGCATATTCAGGGGCCATATAACCACTGCATCAGCAAAAGATTGAATTACTTCTATTTCTCTTAGCTTCTCAAGAAAAGTTGCAATAAATAAGCCAGAAAAACTTGAACCCACATGCAACTAATATTGCTTTGATTGTTAAGTATAATTTTACAAGGACACAAAAAAAGTACAGAAACTACTCACTAGGTACCAGAAATCTTGAATGTATTCACATGGGTGTCTTCCCCAGGAAAGAGCCTTGCCAGGCCAAAATCTGAGATTTTTGGGTTCAATTGCTCATCCAACAGAATATTACTTGCTTTAATGTCTCTGTGAATGATCCTTTCAGGGGCCTCCTCATGCAGGTAGAGAAGACCTCTTGCAACACCTGTAACTATCCGGTATCGTGTTGTCCAATCCAGTGATGCAGACTTCTTTTTATCTGACAATTTTCACCTCTCAAATTATTAGTCCTACTTTTACCAAACTATCAATATCTAAATTTCAGTCCATGCATTTATGCAAATCCACATGATTGATTTTATTTGTTCTCTTTCTCTTACCAAATAGAAAGGTATCGAGGCTTTTGTTTGGTAGATACTCATAAACAAGCATCTTCTCAGGTCCTTCAGCACAGCAACCGAACAATGTGACCAAGTTTTTGTGCTGAATTTTCAACAATAGCTTCACCTCATTAGTAAATTCTCTCAGCCCCTGTCTGGAGTCTACTGAAAGCTTCTTTACCGCTACTTCTTGACCATTTGGCATCAATCCCTGAGAAGACGGACTAATATTGAATAATTATTTAACAGAAATGCCAACCATCACTCCTACCTTACCCCAGACAATATAAAGTAAAAAAATTCTGATTCATGCTCAAAACTAGCCATAACAATAACTTTTGACATGATGTAATAAAAAGTTAAATGAATATATTCAACTAAACTTAATCTGGTACTTTTTCCATAATAACTTGAGAGGATTTCATTGAACTCAACATTTTGATGTAATTATAAGGAAAATCTCTTGGTTTGAAAATAAATGAAAACATCCCCAGAAATTATCCAAAACATTTTCTAACATTCATTGCAAAATTTCCTTGAACTTCATAAAATCGAGCAGCTGCCTCTTGATTATTCTCTAAACTAGAGAGACCCCATTCAAAAAATTTACCCTGCTATCTTTTACAAAATACTACTAAATCTTAGAAAATAACTACCCTTTCGTTATTAAAAAAAAAAAAAAAAACTAATTTTCAGTTAATAATATATAAACAAATATAACTTTCAGTCATAATAATAAAAATTAAAAATAAACAATAAATTCAGTGGAATCGTCGAAGAGTCCATAATGTCATGTTCCTAATCATATAATAAAAAAAGATAACATATAGACAAATGAAAAAACTTAACAACAGATTAAATCCACCTTCCCACTAAAACAATTCACACATACTTCGTTATTTTCAAATTTCACCAGAAACACCTCCCACAAAATGATTTCAAACGTTCATTAAAAAATTTCTGAAATTGGTCCTATCAGAGCATTCGAATTACCTTATAAACGGGGCCAAAGCCGCCGTGGCCGAGCTGATTCAACTCAGAGAAGAAGTTAGTGGCAATCTGAAGAGTACGGAGTTCGAAGAAGAGGTCAGAGGAGTCCGCGCCCTCGGCTTCATCAACGTCTTTGAGCCTCTTCCCGCAGCAGGAAAGGAAACGGGAGAGAAAATCGTCGAAATTCATGGACAAAGTAACAGCATGCAGGTAACGATCATGGAGGATTAAGAAATCGGACGGCGGAAAATGCGAGAGAGAGCATGGAGAAAATGCAGGACTATGGATTGGAAAAGGAGGTGTATGTGTTTTAATTGATAATTTAAGGTTGACTTAAGATCCACAAGTCAATGGAATTGTCTACGGGCATTTATTTTTGGGGTAATTTAAAAAATAAAAATGTGATCCTTACAAAGATTAAAAAAAAAAGGGGATTACAAAATGATATCATACAAAAAAATAAGAAAAAAAATAGAAAAAGAGAAAGAGAGAGAGAAATCATAAAAATCAAGGGTAAAGATTGTCTTTATATGCCCTCATTGTATGTGTCTTTGTAAAACTAATATTGTTCTTTAAAAAAGGAGGAATGACTTACACATACACAAAATTTGTTGGATAGACAAATGGTATCAAAAGGTTTGAAAATGACAAATACCCACTTTCTGTCATGTTTTGTTATGAATTTACATTTGCTAAAAGATAGAAATGATGAAAAGATTAGAATACCCATCGATCCTCATTCCCAACGCACACTAGTAAGGACCAGTACCACTGTTTATCACAGAATTTCATAAAAAAATGTTAAATCCGGTCAAAAAATTGATCAACGATACAAAAGGGCTATGTAGACGGGCTTGTGGTGAGAATAGATACGGAGAAAAAGATTTAAAATTTAAAAAATTTATGACTGTAATAAAATTACTATATTATTTTTTAGCAGACAAAAATCCCTAACAGAATATACAGAAAATATTTATTTATTATTTTTAAATCTTTTGAAAATCAATCTATCTTTGTGCCAAACTTTGGACAGGTTGAAGTCGCTCGGCCTTTTGAAAAATTCTTAAGTTTGGTGGTAAATTGGTAATTATATTGCGGCTTCAACTGCTAAAAGTGAAACACTCGGTGTGTAAAAGGAAAAGCGTCAACCACCACGTGCCATGAGAAATCTTTCTATTGAACAGCGCACAGTTTCGAATTCTCAATATAATGTCATTTTTTTTTTTTTTAAGTAACTGGATATCCGCATCAATTTACGTATTTTAATTAGTTTTGAAAATTTAGTAAATACTTTACAAATGCAAAAGATCAGGTTAGTTATGATATTATTATAATAGATGATCTATAAATTCGAATCTAAAAAATAAAAAATCTAAAAAATAAAAACTTAAAGAAAGTAAACAAACTTCTTTAACCATCAGACTAATCCCTTAAAAATATAATGTCATATTAATAAGAAAAGACCATTTAATCACCTTTTTTCCTGTAAATTTTATTAGGGTTTATTAGGGAAAACAAATTCGATGTCCCTAGATTATGGGTTAATTATAAGCAGGACAGTCTTATTTTCTACAAACAAATTAGTCCTAAACACTCATATATATGTATAACGCTTCAACTCAAATGCGTTAAGGGTTGACAGGCACCAAATAGTGTCTATGTTAGTTAATTTTATCCACACAACAAGTATAATAAATAGAATAATGTTACAATTACTTAATGATACCTACTAAATTTATATATCGAATGACGTGATATAATCTTGACCGTCAATTAATATTAATTCATAATTAATCGATGATAAGAATTATGTTACATGATTCGATGCACGAAATTGGTATCCACTCTTCTATAATTGCATTATTTTGCTAATAAATATTTTTTGATAAGTTTAAAATCAAAGCCGGTCGTTTTTGAAGCAGTTACATACTAGTCCACGCCATTCCTTTTCACAAGCAAGAAATTCACAACACAACAAATACTTTTGACTCTTCAGAGTTTTAATAGGCTTTCTTTCTTTAATTTAAATTATTATTTTTCAACTTTGAATTTCAATTGTCTTCGAAATATGTTTTGATGGCTTCCATTTGCCCACCTCATTGCCTAGATCATATCAATATTTGTATGACCACAAACATAACTGTCAATCATTTATTATAAATTAAATTTCGTTTTCATGTTATAAAGTCCAGCTTTGAATTTTGACAAAAAAACAACTGTGATGGTTAATTAGACAGATGTCTAATTGAGTCCGTCAACTATGTTTTTTTATTAACAGTGATAAAGGAGGTTTGCTCTCTTTCTTGAATTTTTTGATTCAAACTTTAGGGTTATATATTATAATAATATTATAGTTTATATGACCTTTTGGGTTTGTAGGAAGAACGATATTTTCTCACCCAAGGTTTGATGAAACGACATTTTTTCACCCATCAAGTTTCAAAATGACACTTCTCAACCTTCGTTAGGTTCTGTTAGTGTTTTCTGTTAATATTTGATTGAAAAGACGAAAATACCCTTAAATATTTTATTTCTTAATTAGTTGATTATAAATTAAAATTTAGTTAATTCAAAGTCTTTATTCGATTATTTATTAGTCCAAGTATAAAGAAACATTTTTTTTTTTTTGTTTATTGAATTAATTACGAATATTGATTTTTTTATGTTAATTAGTAAAAATGAAAAACATTATAAATAATAGTGATGTGATATTGATAACATTATAAATAAATATTAAAATTATTTAACTTTGAACAATTTTATAGCATTACTCTTAACTTTTTAGGTGAGGTTAACTATTTTGTCTTTTTAAAATTTTTAATATTTGGCTAATAAAAAAATTTTAAAGTAAAATATTTAAGGGTATTTTCATATTTTTAATAAAATATTAACGGAAAATATAAAAGAACCTAACGAAGGGTGGAAAAGTGTCATTTTGAAACTTGATGGGTGGGAAAGTGTCGTTTTGCCAAACCTTGGGTGGGAAAATGTCGTTCTCTCTGGGTTTGTAGAATGTTTAATAGATCTCTAAAATTAGTTGAGGTATGTATAAACTGACTTAGATATTCTAATTAATTAATTTAAAAAAAAAAAAAAAAGAAGACCGGACTGCTTTCAACCGAGAGACTTAATTAATAATTTAATACCCATCAAGATATTTGCCAAAGTCTTGAGACGAAAATTATAACTACATATTTAAAATGCGTTTACTTCCAAAATTTTGAAAAGAACAAAGTAGCTAAGTCATCAGGATCTGATTACAGTTAAGAATTGATTGAAATATAGTACGAGTAAAAGCTCCAGTAATTAATTTAATGTATGATTTATTTTAGACCGAAATTATATTTTAGAATAAATTTATTTGACTTCTTCACCTACTTACTTAAAAGCTACATTTTTATTTATTTATTTTCTTTAATTATGTAGTGTACTTTCACATCAATTGACCTGGCCTGCGGGGCAGTTGAAGTGTTGAATACAGAAATGTGGACGTTGTGACTTGTGAATTGGGATAATGATTTTTTTAATTTACCTTAACTATTGTTGAAAGGATATAGATTTTAAGGGTCAAGGCCTTTTAATTTTTAATTTAAAATTGTTGATGTATATGCTCGATCTAAACACTAGTTAAGTTTCTAGAGGTATTGTCGGTTTTAGATCTTAGAGCTTATATGATTTTATCATAAAAAGACGTCTCTAAATAGTGAGAGTGTCTTTATGTTATATAAACAATGAAGACGCTCGTCTCTTAATTGATACGGAACTTTGACATCAACACAACTCTTAATAAATTTATAATTCATATATGAAGAAATATATTGATTAAAATAGCTACTAATACTTTGAAGAAAATGTAATAATAAATTTATATATGAAACAATTAAAAACTTATAATTTTATGTTGCTTGTGACCCGATATATCTCATTACAACTCTTCTTTCTCCATTGCACTATTATTTTGTTATATGGATGATATAAATAGCATAAACAAAAAAATATGATTTATGAGATAATAGTGTGGTGTCAAAAATATTTATAAAGATTAGGAAATTTAAGTTTATTTTAGTAATTTAATATAAGAATAAATTTCTCATTACAAAATTTATTCAAAATAATGAGACTTTTTTACTCTATTAGTGAGGCGTCAATAGATTTTCTAATTTTTAATAAATCATTTGTACGAAAAATGCTCTTCTCTTTGCTCTATTAATAGACTCAACCAAAAAAAGCCCAGTCCAACCTGAGTAAGGCCCATGGTGGTCGGACCGGGCCAAGCCTGGTTAACTAGGCCCTGATATAGTATATAAAATTTAAAAAGAGAATGACACAATTGGTTATCGCTTTTTACTTTAATAAACCCTAATTACTATTTTCTTCTTAATTACAATTTTATTCATTGTAAAAATTACTAAATAAGATATAAAAGTATTTTATACTCAACTTACTGATGATAAATCTTTTGCTATTAATTCAAACTTTATATTTTGTTTTTCACATTATAAATCTAAAATAATTAGATGAAACAAAACTTGGGCTTAAAACTCGGGTAAGCTTGGTTGAGTAAACTACTAAAACCTTAGGCCTTTTTCCAAGTTGAGTTTGAATTTTTAAATCACAACCTAGTGGATCGGCTGACCCTTAAGAATTGAGTAATACTACGATGACAAACGAATCTTATAAACATTTTTTCACAAACTTACACCCTTAGGCAACGTCAACAGGCGGGAGAATTCATCAAAAAACAAATCATTAACTATCGCGTTAGGTTTGTGATAGAAAGTTTGTGAAATTCGTTTGTTATTAAATTTTTATTGTTAAGAATTATATACTTAAACAAACTCAAATTAGAAAATAATCCAAACTTGTGAGACAACTGGCCTATGAAGCTTGTGTTTCGATTGAGATTGTTAAATGGGTTGGAAAGAAAGTAATGGAACCTTGCAATGGAAGGAAAGTATGAGCCACACAACTTAAATTAATCCTTCATAGGGCTCAATTGAAAGGGTTGATAAATGTTTGGTTTTAATTTGTTCAACCTCTCTATTGAATAAATATAAAATCTTTATCCATATCTTATAGAAATAATAATTTAAATTAAAATCAAACAGGTCCATTTGTTTGTTCAACAAAACTTCAACCAAGTTTCCCCAGTGAGAAAAATAAAATTAATTTTATCTAGTCTAAAGTAATAAATATATATAAAAAACAAAAATGACTGGATTCATATAAATAGTTGTTTTTCAAAATAATAAAATTTACATTTAGCAAGAAAATTACTCATCTTTTCCCCTAGTTTAATACAGTTAATACTATTTCCCACTTTTCAGTATTATTTCTATAAAAAATATTTTATTGAAAATTTAACTCACTGAGAAAAGGCTAGCACTTACACGCTCGATTAATCCTCATGGAGAGTTATCACACACAACACAAAGCTATAACCCCTTGATAAATCATGAGAGCGGGAGAATTGAACCTAGGATATGATTGTACCTAGAGGTGGAAAATTTGGGCCGGGTTAGGCTAGTCAACCCTAACCCGGCCTGGGAAAATGCGGGTTAAGCCCGAACCGCCATCTTGGTGGTCCGGGTTGACCCTAACCCGGCAGCAACCCCCGGGTGGGCCGGGTTGCACAATGGCAACCCGCCGGGTGGGTTGTACGTTACAACCCGCCAACCCGGCGGGTTGGCTGAAAAAAATAAAAAAAAATAAAAATTTTTATTTTATTTTTCAAATTACCCTTTTATCCTTGAAATATAGCCGTTTTATAGCCGTTTGAGGGGTCTTTTTCATCATTTTTCATTCCCATTTTTTCCTATAAATTGACCATAAACTCTCACATTTTTCTCACAACTCAAATTCTTTCATTCTCTCATATTCTCTAATCTATAATCTCTCAATTATTCATTTATTAGTTTTTGCAATTTGCTCATATTTTAATTTTTATTAGTTTTTGCAATTTTTAATTCATATTTCCAATTTTCCAAATTCCAATTTCCAATTTCCATACTCCAATTCTCTTTCTTTAATTTTTATTTCTTCTACATCAATTTTTTTTTTCAACTACAATGGATAAATGAATAAGTCTAATTTTTCTTATATTATAATTTTATTGTATCAAAATTGAATTAATAATTGAAATGTTAACAAAAAAAAAAAAATTTGAATTGAATTGAAATTTGAAAAGTTAATTAAAAACAATTATATTTATAATTATTTATTTGAAAAATTAAATAAAAAAACAAAAAAAACAAAAAAAAAAAGGGAAAATCGGGCTAACCTGGCCCGGACCGCCATCTAACCCGACGGGTTAAGGTTGGCGGGCCAGGCTGGGCAAGCCATTTTGGAGGAAATGGCGGGCCTAACCCCGCCTGCCTTTGTTGGCGGGCGGGTTAGGCCCAGCCTGCCAAACAAAGTAACCCGCTGCGGGTCGAGTAGATTACTTTTCCACCTTTAATTGTACCATTTGCAGCCTCCTTGGTTCGCTATTACAGTTAGTTTGTTAGGCTACTCATATGGGTGGTTATAATAATTTATATTTGGCTTTGCAATATTTTCTTAGATTTATTGTTAATACATAAAAAAATTGTAAACTTTTTTTTTTTGCTTAAATAGGAAATGTTAATTTCAATATAATAATTGACAAATTGACATTTATTTTATTTTTTAAAAACGTTTATTATTAAATAATTCCACTATGAGCAGGACCCATTGCCTACAAGCAACAAACATAACCAAAATAGAGAATAAATTGTTGAATTTCCATATTTACCCTCCCGTGCGAGCCAAAATAACTTTCTCGTTTCTATCATGCCCCCAGCCTCAGCCTCAGCCGTCATCGACGACCGCTCCCTAACTCTTCGTCTCTGACAATTCCTTCCCCGAGCGAACCAAAAGCCTCCGATCCCCCGACAAATGCTGGTTGGCTGAACAAAAAAATCCTACAGAAGGTAAAGGAAAGGAAAATCATGAGGTCTTCTTCGGAGAGAATCAACATCGCGGCTAGTGCGCAGAGACTCGATGTCGATAACCGTATCGCCATAAGATACTACTACCGGATCGCCGATAATATCCTTAAACAGGTCTCTGTTACTTTAGCTTGGTTTAATTCTTGTTGAGCTGAATTGTTCGTTCTATTTGGTGAATTTTATCGCGTTATGTTTTGAATTGTGAAGTTTTAGGTTTCTTATGTAGTAAACTGTGATTGAATTTTCATTTTTTTGGTTCACTTGTATAATAAGATTTATGTTAACTTGATTATTCTGAGCAGTTGTTTCATTTGGTTAGATTAATTTGGTTAATTTATTATGAGGTAGGGTTAGAGTTTGATCCACTTGATAGTTAGACTGCATATTTAATAATTTTTGTTGGTGAAATTATCAGTTGTTGGTTTAAAAGAAAAGGTTTGGTGCTTGTTCAAGCAAGTTTCTTGGCCGAAGTTTGCTGCTAAATTCTATCAAAAATGTAATTGATATATGAAGAACTTGGATTTTTTAGTTATTATGCATATTAAAGGTGAAGTGATGCTTCATTTTCCCAGTTATACAATTGGCTTATTGTGCTTTTGTTAACGGTTTTGTATAAATGTTTTGTTGTTCCTTAAATTTGTGTGCCTCTGCTACTCTGCTGTCTTTAATGATCTTTCTTCTTCTAATATACCAATGACATTGTAGGCTGACATCTTCCGAGCAGAAAAGAATATTATTGATTTGTATGTAATGCTTCTACGGTTTTCAAGGTAAGGAAGAAGAGAAAGGACTATTATATATTTCCCTTTCCTAGGTTACAGGAATAGTAGTAGTTTATAATTTATTTCTCATTTCTTTAAAGATTGTTACTGAATCAACTTGGGTGTATATTGCATCAGTTTGGTGTCAGAGACCATTCCATGCCATCGAGATTATGGAGCGTCTTTACAAAGTAAAAAAGTTTATTTGAAAAAGGTACTTTTCTTTCTGTTATGTTTTTTGTTTTTAAATATATTATTTACGAGAAATCCATAGTTATGGGTTAAGGTTTTGGGTGCTATTTGATTCTTCTTGCAGAAATTATTGAGTGCAGTGACTGAATTAGAGGAGTTGCAGCCAGCTGTGCAGCAGAAGATCAATGAATTAAACAGAAAGCATACATATCAAACTAATGGCTGGGGCAATGTTGCTCAAAATGATTCACTAGAGTGGCCTTCTGTCAAAAAGCAGACTTTGACTAACTATAATGTAACAAAGGTATGATATTGCTCAATTATCCTGGTAAAAAAGGGTTCAGTATATTTGTAGAAGCTCCTAGTTCATTATATTTCTTGGTTCTCTGATTGATTAATTTCTTGGTGACAATTTGGTATTTAGTCGGTAGCATTTTCACTTCTAATAGCTTCTTAGAATTAGGTCCACCCTTTCTCTTCCAGTTGTCACTCCCATAATACATTTAATGTGAAGAAATGATAGTTCCATGTATATACTATTCTACGAATGACAGGCATTGAGACCACCTGCTCGAGAATTCACGTATCAAGGTTCAAGGACTCAACAACTTTCTTATGCCAGGCCAGTGGATGAGCAGTTTCGTAGAATGTAAGTGCTCTAATACTTTCAAGGTTCTTAAGTTGTTCCTCAGAGGTTAATGCCTTCTAGATTATAATGATAAAAGTAGGATAATGGTTGCTTTATATTTTTCTTCTATTTACTGTGGAATGTTGTTGTTTTAAAGTATTTTTGTGAATGTTCTATTTAGAGGCATATCATTAGAATAATGCAAATTTATTGGTAGACGAGCAGCATGCAGTTCAAGTTAGTCATTGCAATAAATTTTTTTATTGACATAACAACGCATAGAAAAGGAATATTAATGATATATGTATGTATGTATCTATTTATGTCTTTATGGATGTTTAAGATAGTGAAACAAGTTTTCTAGCTGAGAAAACGTGAAAATATTTTTTAGAATACAAAACTATTTTGGAAATAGGAAACAGACATGCTCTTATGTTGCACACAATTTTGTGAAAATGATGCCAGTCTTAGAAGCCCATGTGGGAGTTATGGACATTTGGCAATTATTAAAATGGATGTTTAGGTTTTCAGCCACTGTTATATGTTGGTTTCTTGATACTGAGTTACAGTTCCTGGATAGACATGACCATGAAGAAGAGCATTGATTCTGAATTATACATGTCATTAGTTGGCATCTTTGTTAAGCCTTTCCTTGTTTGCTTGTTGTAGGTCTCTAAATTTCCCTCGTCCAACGGCAGAAACCCTATCTAGACATTCTATTTTGGGCCCAAATGGTCTCCATGGCCGGTGGCAGCCACCAAAGAGCAATAAATTGGTATGATGGTTTAGCTTATTTTATTTTTCATGAAGTAATGATGCTGACCTTTGAGTTTTATTTTTTATCCTCTTTACGGCTGTAGGTCAAGTATCCAATCAACATAGACCTGACTCCAGTGGAATTCCCCAGGTTAGACTCCTTGTTAAGTTGTTGGAAATACTTTGTTTTTGTGCCTTGCTCGTGCAGCTCAAGATAGAATTTAATCTGGGAAGTCAATTAAAATGGTTTTCTCATGTCGGTCTGTGATTATATGTTGAGGACTTGAATTGTTTGAATTCTGGATCCACAAGGGTTCCTTGCCCTAAGATATTGTTATTATTTTTTCATTTTCTTTTTGCTTTATCTTTTGACACATTAATGTTTTGAATTAATTTCAAATGGTGGTTTTATGGGAAAGCAGCCTTCAGCAGCCTGTAGAAAGTGGAATCACAACAAAAACAGACAGTAGCAATGTTGCACCTGAAAAATCAAGTTTGGAGTCAATTACTATTCCAACTGATGAAATTGAGAAGCGTCCGGCTGAGGAACCTTGCTCCATGATTTCCTTTGAAACAGTTGAAACTCCTGTTTCTACAGTTGAAATCCCTGTTTCTACAGATATTATTAAACAACCTTCTCCTCCACCTGTACTTGCAGAAGTACAAGATTTGATTGCTGCAATGTCTCCACAAGTTACTGAGGCAGAATGCCGGAATGAGAATTTAATGTCCGATGGATTTGATCGAACTGAGCCCCTGCAGTTGCACATTGTAAGAGTTTTGAGAAAAAATATCTCTCAGAAATTATATATATATATTATTAGTTTCATTTGCATTTAACTGTTTTGTTGTGAATAATGTTGTGAGGCACTATCTTTCTAGTGATTCATGGTTTTAATGCATTATCATGTAATTTATTCTTAGGCGGTTCTAGTATCATCTTAAACTGTGAGGTGAGATGATCCTTTGTCCTGACAATCATTTTCCTTTGCAGTCAACCACATTGATGGATAACTTCATGAAGCTGGCAAAGTCAAATACTGAAAAAAATTTAGAAACTTGTGGTGTCCTTGCAGGTTCACTTGTAAGTGTTGTTGGTTTAAGACTACTGAAGTCAAATCTTAAAAGTGTTAATACTAATATGGGTAGCAATCTTTCTGTTCTGCAGAAAAACAGAAAATTCTATGTTACTGCTCTCATTATTCCAAAGCAGGAATCAACATCAGATTCAGTATGTCAATTTCTTTATGGGCAAAGTTTTCATTTCTCTTTCATTGGTTGCATTCTAATTATGCTTGCTTTAAATTTGTACCACATGAAACAGTGTCAGACCACAAATGAAGAAGAAATATTTGAAGTGCAGGATAAACAATCTCTTTTTCCACTTGGGTGGATTCATGTAAGTATTTTTGCTGTGATTTTTTTCATGTTAAATCCTGTATTTAGTGGATTGCTTGTTCATAAATGTTGTAGATTTCTTATAGAATTCTAATCAAATTTTTGTTTCTTATAAATAATGTTGACTTATCAATAATCACTGATCAAAATATTACTTGTCAATCTTTTGCTTGTATATGAACTGAATTGAACTAATTTTAAGCTTCATGCCACTTATATCTATAAGAAACATGTTAATTGGTTAGGAGAATTTTAAGTCTTATTCCATTACTATGAGGCTTGCAATAATGTGTTCTTGTTATATCTCCCACTCTTTCTTGTACATCACTTTTTTTTTTAACTGATTTTTGATTTTTTCTTGCTAATGATCGACAACTCACATCTATTTGATATCACCTTGCAAAGTTCTGTACAAATCTAATGATTAAATCAATTGTCCATATCAACCACCATCACACGTTGTGATCCTTGTTTCACACCTTTTTCTTGTCTTTACCTGCCTAGATCTTCATTCTCTTATTTTGATGGAATTTTAATTGTCGACTCTGGTGTTTTTAAGTTAATAAGCTTAAAGAGAAGTGTGACATTCTACTTAAATTTTGTGATTCACTAGTTTTCCACTCTTTCTTTTAAGATGGTATTGATTTATTTGACCCTTTTGAGTGATAAGTGATAATCAGCTTGGGATTGAGATTTCTTTTATATATCTGTAAAACAAATGTGATCACTGTGGAGGAATTTTGAATTGCCATGAAAGACTTGTGCTTTCTTTCTATTGCATGTATGTATGTTCGGATTTTACATGGCAGTAACCCAATGCTAAACCTTATCGTATATGAATGAACTTATATCTTTATTCTGTCAATAGAGAAACAAAGTGTAAAGAGAAAATGATATAAAGAAGGATTTTTTTTTTTTTTGTGAAAACTGATTTCTCTTAAAGAGAGTCATATACAGATGAATGTCAAGTGGGGATTGTTTCTGCATAGATCTGTTCCTCTCATGTAACTGATAATTATCCAAGTATGGTTACATGTGGTTCAATGCATAGATTTGTGATGTTTGAAGGAGCTTATATATTATGTAATCTTTGTGCTGATTAATTATTATTTACCATGCAATTTCAGACGCATCCTACACAGTCTTGTTTTATGTCTTCGATTGATGTTCACACCCATTACTCATATCAGGTATGTGCCTCATCCTGTTATTGTGAAAATTATGTGCTTCTTTACTTTGGGTTCATGATTAGTTTACAATTAATGCTTTTTGTCAGTTGAGTGGCTATATTATTTTATACTTTCTTATTTTCATTTATTCTTGCTATGATTCCTATTTTTACGTTAATTAGTTATAACTATGCCTCTTTTTTTTCTCAGATTATGCTGCCGGAATCTGTTGCTATTGTTATGGCACCCAGAGATAGTACAAAGTAGGAATAATTCTGAGAATGAAGTTTTCAGTTTTTGCTGTCATTTATTGTTGGATGACTTAATTTTTTTAATCCAAATCTGCAGAAAGCATGGAATTTTTCGGTTGACAACGCCAGGCGGCATGTCAGTAATAAGACAGTGTCAACAACGTGGCTTTCATCATCACGATCCACCTACTGATGGTGGACCCATTTACAAATCCTGTACAGATGTATATATGAATTCCAATCTAAAATTTGACATCATTGATCTTCGGTGATTACAGTCTTGCCATATGGACAGGTAATTTTTTTGCAATGCAATTATTTATTAATCATTGCTATACAATTAGTTTTGTGTTTACCTACCATTAGAATCAGCCCCTAAAATGCAAGACTACTTGTTTGTATTATTCTCTGGTCACTGTATATTCTATGCACTATTTCTTAAAACCACTTTGGTCATGACTTGGGACGGCTACCTGCATCTTGATGGAGTTTGGGAGTCGTATTTTTGTCATTCGTCGGTGTAACGGACGAGACTATTCCTATGTTCTAAATAATTCCAGATTATAATATTTTCAACAAACCCGTTATTTCGTGTCAAGGCATTGTAATTATCAATATATTGATGCTGTTGTTGGTGGATCCCCTTATTAATGGCATGATATTTAAAAATATGGGGTGATTAGAGCTCTATTTAGCTGTCATTTATATGCCGATGGTGTTTTCGAGTTCTTTCTCTATTGGGCAGATATCTCGTCAAATCAATGGTTTCTGAACTTTGTAAGCACAGGTATTAAGGATCAAGAAATTCTGTTTCTTTTTCCTGGTATGATAAAATTTGATACTTTCTTGATGTTTTTTTTTTTTTTTTTGCTTCAATAGATATAAAAGTTTAATTAATTGTCGATATATAAATTATGATCTCACATGAATAATGATATACATGAGATCATCAAATATCAAGTTTAGATTTTTTTTTTTTTTAAAAAAAAAGTCTACAATTCTTTCGTGTATTGCTCAAGTATTAACTCAATATGAAGAAAGTCTAGTTTAGAAAGTAGAAGCCGAACATGGAGAAATCATGAACGGATCAATTGCTTATCTCATCTTCCAAATAAGAGACAAACCCATCTAATCCTACATGAATGGGCTTTTGATTTTTCAAGGTGATGATAATGGGAGTGACGTTGAGAGTAGCTGTGTTTTTGTCATGTGGGGTTTGGTCAATAAGTAAGACTGAGTCAGAAAGAGTAGAGAAATACTAGTGTAATGATGAGACAGAATGAAACGAGAAGCAGTCTGAGTCTGCAACTCTACCTACTACTATCTGAATTTTTAATTTTACTTAATAGAAGATAGCGTGTGTGGTAGAAGCAACATCAACAAGAGACGGGGGCGCCCCTTGTTTTGCTGCTTTGAGATTGAGAGTGAGTAAGCAGCAACTTTTCTTTCATATGACTGACATGTACCTTCTCTGCTTTACATTATGTAGGCCGGTGTTTGTAAAGAAAAAGGATTTGTGACATTGTAACCCCTCCCTTTAGGTTTGGACTTTGGCGTGAAAATTTTTACCCCCAATTTTGAGAAAATAACACCCTCATCCCCAAATAGCATTTAAGTGTAAGCATAAAGATTAGTTCACAATCCAATCTTACAAATTTTCTTTTACAATCCCGACATAACGGTTCGTAATTAGGCAAGTGAGACTCATAGCGAGTAGGCAAAGATCTATTTGCGAGCTTTCATGTTGGGGTTTATATATTTTAAATAAATGGTTGGGATAAAGTTAGAAGTTTAAGGCAATAAAGGGTTATTTTAACTAAAACAACTTATTTCAAATGTTTTTTCTACATTTAATTACAAAATCTCCAATTCGGACTTGAAAGTGATAATATTAGTTTCTCAAAATTAGGTTTAAATTTTTTTACGTCAAACCTCAAGGTGATAGTGTAATTAATTATCTATAACAAAACCACCATTGGATGGTTCAGCTGTTAATTAGAACTCTTGAGTGTATTATTCAAAAAGTTATGAGTTTGATCCATTTGGATTGCTAATAGAGGTGATCATTGAAATAATTTATCTGACTTTATGACTCCGAATGATTAATTGAGGTGTATGTAAGCTAATCTGAACATCCCCAATTACCCCCCCAAAAAAAAAAAAAAAAAAAATTATCTGTTAACAAATCTTTTACTTAACTTGTTATAAAGTCACGTAAAGGTGGTACCTTACAAGTTACAACAACAACATCACACCACTAGATATTGCCGCAGACTTTAAGATTTGTTTTGCCACTACTTGCCCCATTTACAACACTACCTTTTTAACATTCACACCTAATAATTATACCACATTCCTTGTTAACCTTCACGCCTAAACACTTTCTTATGTTCTGGATGACATATTTTTGCCTATAGATTTCAACTACCCCTGAGAAACTTAAAGCCGAAGGTGACACTTTGAAAGTATCCTCTTAGATACATTCTCAACAACCTCAGGTTCCAACAAAATACCCAAGGGAGGATTCTGTGGCATTCTCTCAATATGAAAGAAAAACTAAATTTATATTAAGATATACTGTCATGTTTCTTGGTTTTGGCTACTGCCATTTGTTTGAAACAAGCAAGAGAAAAGACAAACCAAGGGTACATAAATGGGCAGGTGTCATGTGGGGTCAGGGGTGGTCTTGGTCGCAAAGAATTGACCTTTTATTTTTTTTAAAGTGATAATAATTTCTCTTTAGTATCTCCTATCCTTCTTTTAATACGTATGCAGAAGAGAAAGAAAATAATATTTAATAATACAATAAATTTACTTTTTATATATACATATATCTCAAGAGAAAAATGAGTTGAATAAAGAATAAAGTTTATTTCATGTTATTGTTTATAGCTTCTCTTTTTCAGTAACGGGATGCAAAATTGAGACCTCAAGAGTAATATCGGTTTGATTATAGGATGGTGAGATAAATAATATTGATATGACAACAGAAATTTCAACAATGTAAATATAACATCAACACTAACAATATATACAACAATATTTATTAACAAGAACCTTACATGAGGAATAAAAACCCCAAAATAGAAGTCAAAATCTAGATTTTCTACTAGATTTGAAAATGAATAAACAAATATTTTTAGTTTTTTTTTTTTTTTTAAATTCTAATCCCATTCCACTAAACCCAAACTTTTCATACTATTTATGTGATTGATTTCCTGTAATCTAATTTGAATTGATTAAACTTTTTTCATCCATCGCTATTATACTTTTTATGATTTCACCTAACTCTTATTAGATTATGAAATATAATCAAATTCTAAAATTTAAATAATTGTCAAACCTAATACAAGATCATATAATATCTGCCAATCATTCATCTTCTCTAAGATTTAGGTGAGTCAAATTCTACTAGTACTATAAATTCATTTAAAATTTGAAACTCATTATAAAATTTTCCCACTAATCACCTAAACATCAATAAAATTTTATTATTAACAAGAGAGCTAAGCTAAAATTTAAAAAATAAAAATAAAAAAAGGATTAAAAGAATCTTACAATTTTTTTAATGAAAATTTCAACATTATTATTGGAAGAAAACGGATGACATGTCCACAAATTGTCAAACTCTTTGTTAACTAATCCGATTTATGATTAATGATTAATTAAGAAACATCAAATCAAATTTAAAACCCACTACAGATTTCAGGGCCCCAGTTCAAAGAATTTAGTTCATTTGGGCAGTGTGATCCTTTTAATTCCAATTGATTAAGCTAATCCAATTGATATATCATACATTTTTATGTTAAATACATCATGGTATGTATTATGAATTACATTAGCTCATAGTATTTATTTATTATATAGTATAATAAGTGAGATTTGTAACTATGAAAATGAGCATTGACTTAATTTAACAAAATATGAAATATAATGTAAAATGGAAAGTATTACATAAATGCTCAAAATATTCCCTTAAAAATAAAAATAAAAAATATTCCTAAAAAGGATACTTAATAGATTTGAATGACTAGAAGTGTGATAACTATATATAGTTGTTTCATTAATATGATATTAAATTAAAAGCGTGTAATATGAAAATCTCTATCAAATTTAATTAAAGAGGGTTGGTTGATGGGTTTATATCAAATGATGTAATTCAATTTCAGTTATGTTTGGATTGATTTGATGGTTCTTAACCAATATCAATAATGGAGATAATTATTAACTTGCTCTTATTATATATACCTAACAAAATTTCCCTCTTTTTTTTGCCTTAATATTTATAAGCTGTCTGTACTTCATTAAGCATTGAGCAGTGAATTATTTTGAAAATTTACTCTACATTTCCCCTTTCTCATTAATCTCATTTAATTGGTTGTAAGGAGAATAATTTTTTTATTTTTTTATAAATCCGATAATGGTTAGCCATCCAACCACAAGGGATAAGTCAAGGAAAATAATTCTACTCACAAAAAGAGTCTCTTAATTTTGTTGAATTCTTTAATGAAGGGAAATCCCAAAGACCAAGTAGACTAATAGATTTGGATAATCCAATCCATATATTATAATTATGAAATTATGAGGTGACACATTCAAGCAAAAGATATATTAGAAAAATAGGGTTGATGATATCTAGAGCTTGAAAACAAAGGCAAACCAGAGAAAATAATGCATGTCATGTTTGCACGACAATATCATCTTCTATGAAAGGTGAAAATACAAATATTTTTATTTGAAAAAGTGAAAGATTTAATTGAAAATTTTATTACCCACCTCCACCTTACAAATTCTAAAACTTATAAACATTGAGTGGTTTGTTCAAATTAGTGCTGCTAGATTTGTTGTCCAACTCCAACCTTATTATTGTTGTTACTAAGGTGGTTGAGATGGCTGCCCATCCATCAAATAGTCAATTCTTTTTATTAAAGGATTAACTCCACTTTTTGATTCTATCCAATTTTCTATATTAAGGGTTAAGTCAAATGGACATTAGGTATTTTTCGGATTATTTCAACGGTTATTATTGATTCGATAACGTTATTAAGCTGATAAATATTATAAAATTTGTATTTTTTAGATTATTTCAACAGTTATTATTGATTCGATAACGTTATTAAACTGATAAATGTTATAAAATTTGTATTTTTTAGGTTATTTCAATGACTATTATTGGTTCGATAATGTTATGGAATTTTCGGATAATTTTCTTTTACTTGCCTTAACGCATATTTTAATATGCAGATTTTATGTGCCTGTCAATGGAGTTAACGCTTGAAACATTTTCAAGTTTCTCTTTTTCTTTGTCTTTATCTCTCTTTTATTTTTTATTTTTGGGTCTCATGTTTTCTTATTATCTTCTATGAATCCTGAAAAATTCCCACAGAACAATTTGCCTTGTAGTTCATCTCTCTTTCTCTCTGCAAATTCTGTTTGAAGACTTGTTTGTGTCTCTTCTTTAACAACACCGACAATTTTCCTCTGATCACCAAAATACTCGCCCATGAATCTTCAAAAAAGCTGCTCTTTACTGTTTTTGTCCTCTCTTTTTCCTTGAAATTCATCCATTCTCTTTTTTGACTCCCTTGTCCACGAAACTTGTCAATATTCAACCCTTCAACACTTTAATCTTCTTCTTTTGCCCATCAAATTTGAATATTTTTCCTCTGCTTTTCTCTCCAAGTTCTTGAATATTCAGCTTTCTTTTAATTGCTTTGGTTAATATGTGCTCGGAGACGAGTCCCAGGATATCATTTTCCCATGATCTTTGCCAGGCGGAAGTTGTAGAAATTAATGAAATGGAATCTCGAAGGGACACAATGCTTTTGGACTCGAATCCCGATTTTGAATTTAGCATTTCAAGTTGTTTTGATCGAGAATCGTCTTCAGCTGATGAGCTTTTCGCTAACGGTGTGATTCTTCCGGTACAAGTTCAAGACAACATCGGTGCTTCGAAAAAAGTCCTGACACGTTCGGCTCCACCTGCTGTTTCTCTTCCTCCTCTTCATCGTCCTCCTTCGAGTAATGACGCCGTGAAGAAAGGTATCAGTGTGAAGGAAATGTTGGTTGTGAAATGTGATTCCGAGGATCAAAAGCCTCAACAGGCTAAATCTTTCTGGGGTTTCAAGAGAAGTTGCAGCCTCAACCATGAAGCCAAGAAAAGTTTGATTTGTTCTTTACCTCTTCTGTCTCGAAGCAATTCAACTGGTTCAGTGCCTAACAATAAACGATCATCATCGTTAAAAGATAATCACAATCACAAGGCAAGGTCTTCATCAACTTCTACTGCATATCAAAAGCCTCCATTGAAGAAAAACTATGTGGGTTCTTACGGAAATGGTGTGAAAATTAGTCCTGTGTTGAATGTGCCGCCTCCTTATATTTCTAAAGGGACTGCAAATCTCTTTGGTTTAGGGTCTCTCTTACGCAGTGGATCAAAAGACAAGAAGAATAACAAGAAGTGATCTTTAATTGTTTGCTTTGAATTGATTTGAATTTCAATGTTCTTGTTCTTGGTGAGTCTCCAGAGTTTCACATAGTATAAATTCGTCTCACTCAGTCTAATAGATTAGTCTCGAATCGAGGTTGAATTATTATTGAGAAGAAGATCTAAGAAAGGTAATTTTATAGCTAAAATGTTGTGAATCAAGAAGAGGATGGAACTTGGAAGAAGGGTTCATGCATATCAAAATGTCGCAACCTGAGGGGACACATGGACAGGCACCCTTCATTCATGGTTTGTCCTATTCCATCTCTCAAATATTTTTATTTTTATTTTCTCCCTCGTTTATAGAAAAGCAACTTTTGGTCTTTGTTTCATTAATATATATATGTATATAATCTTTTGAAATGGTCGTTCATCTTTTAAGATATTTGTCTTTTGATTTGGAGGTTAGCTTTTGTTTGATATCCTTAAGATCAAGATAAAAGGCAATTGTTTTAAGGGATTTTGGATTTGAAAAATCTACACTAAAAATGTCTTTTACTTTGTTGATTCTTGTTTGCATTAGCCAATAGCCACCTATCTAATCTAAGCATAGCATAGGTCCCTCACTCTTCCCTTCTCTCGCCGTCAATATAAATACAAATGTCTCATACTTTACTGGCACTATCTCAACATCACCCACAGTCGACCAATAATTTGGCATCTTAGCAAGACTTATCGACAAAGAAAAACAAGTTTTTATTTTATCTTTGAGTATACATATGTTGAAATGATCTTATTATCACTTATGTCATTATCATCTTGATAATCATCATATTATTATTGTTATAATTATTTTAGAAGCAAATCATTTGGTAATGACCATAGGACACATACAATATCCCATAACCAACATCAGCAACATGAACACGGGTACATAATGTCTTCCATTTGTAACATTAATTGTCGAGTTTTATTACAATAATAATTCATTATCATGAGCAGTAATACTATACTCACAAACCCTTTTTATTAATTTTTTCTCACAAACGCGATATATCAGTTCGTAATTAGTTAACTTGCAATGAGTCCTATCTAACCAAATGCGAATCAACTAATTACAAATTGTCATATCAATGTTAGTGAAAGAAGTTTATGAGAAATATTTGTCAATTTATCTTTATTGTTATCGTAAAACTTGTGAATCACTAAGTTAAAACTCAATAATATGCATTTTTTTACATATATTATTAACAATAACCTAACCACGTAACACAATTTAATTTGCGTCAACCTAACAATTGTTTCCAAAGACTTTCAAACAGTAAAATTGACAATTTTGTTATGGGACTTGCTACCATATGAGCAAACATTACCGGCCATTAAATAGCACAAATTCAATGAATCATAATTACCCGATAATGTAAACGAGCTAGTGACAACAATGTTGCCCTTCGTTTCTGGTGCAGGTCGGCGGTCAATACAACTTCTCTTACAAATAATTTTGGTGTTACCCTACCAAAGGGCCAACGAACATTGGATGCTATCTAAGATTTTTTATCCCTACAAACTCTGAAAATCCTCTGGCTCCTATTTGAGTTGGAGAGATGCCAACCATTACATGAATTTTACAACTGTAACTATACAGACGTGGGGACTGGCAATAATTGTAGCCCACTACTAGGAAAAATGAGTAACTCCATAGTTCATGCTCCAATCTCCATTATTGATTTGTCTCATGGGATAGTGGTCCATTTCATTTCACTATCTTTAAGGGGAAATTGTTCCACTTCTGAAACTCAACGTCGTTTCCAATATATATATGTATACACAAGGATATTTGATCACATTTACTAAGGTGAATGAGTGTTTCTCAGTAACATTATTGGTGAATGAGAACCTTTTATATAAAGTGTAAAATTTGTAACCATAAAATTTCATACATCTTCTCTGTGAATTCTTACATTACAATTTACAACTATAAGTTTTATATTGTAATTCTTACTTTTTGTGTTTCGAATCTCTTGTACCAATATAGTTATCGGACCTAATAACATAGCAAAATTCATATTTTTCGACATTTCAATCCTCTGAAGCTTCTACTCTTCTCTCTGCTTCCACTGTTGTCTCTATCCTCTATAGTGAATTCAACCACAAAAATATAACAACCTATAAGGGCTCCTATATATAAAGGCTTCTGTAGGAGTAAGTAGGGGTACACTTGGGTTGCCTATACAAATATTTACAAGCTAAAGGATGCGAACATTTACAGAATAAAAGAACCTGTGGTTCGTGTTATGTAGAGCAGTCCGGAACTGTTGCCTCACTCTTGATCACCCGGGTGTTGTAAGATCCACAGGATCCACATTTATGATACAACCAATGGAAGCGTGCAGTGCCCTTTTTCTCACAATCATTGCAAAGTATATCCTGGATTCCCATATATGAATTAGAATAATTTAAAAGCGGAAACACGAGGACAAGATATTAGTATTACTGGATGATAGCAAACATGGCATACAACGGAGAAACCCACTTATTGAAAGTATGTAATGCCGATCAAATAGATTTTAAGATACAATGGTTTAGCAGTCTAAGCAAAGAAAGAAATCTTTTAAGCAAACATGTTTAACAACAATAGAGATTAATCCAATCATTGATTATTCTGCATGCTAAACATAAGAATATAAAGTTTCTCAGAGCTCCATTATAATTTTTTGTCTTACCAAAAAAATACGGCAGCAGCATTTTAACATTGTCAAAGTAAATAAAATAACAAATTAAAGAGTATTTAAAAGACTGAGACAGAATGAGAGGCAGAGGCAAATGCACCTGTAAACGATTCTTATATTCCTCTGGAAGCTCCTCCGCAGCCAAAAGAGAATCAAGCATGCCAAAATAGATCTGCGTAGGATAACAATAACAGAGAAATACAGACAACCAGGCTTCAGCTATACTTTAAATGTGGGTATGGAAGTAATACCATTTGTCCATGAGCAAACTGAGCTAAAAAATAACAAAAAGTTGTCTTACCGCCATATTTCCCAAGGATTTGCTGCAAATTGGGCAGGTGTAATGACTGCAAGTGTAGGCCTAACAAATGACAAAGAATAGTAAATCAAATTACTCCACAATTTTGAAATGGCTCATAAGCATAACAACACTATGTGAAAGGAATGGATTGAGAATGTAAGTATCACTAAATTCGAAACCTGAAAGCATGCCACATGCATATGATGGCTACAAGGTAAAGCTCTGACAACGTCACTTGATGTGAATAGAAAGTCACAGCAGATAGGGCAGTTTGTTTCTAGACATTTCTCAATGCACTTGTGGTTCACTATCTTCAACGGCAAGCAACAATTGCAGGTCATGCAATGAAAATAATCTTTGCCAAGACCCCTCCCAACACGGCATAAATTGCAAAATGGACAATGATACACAGTCCTGAGAGGATAAACAAAATTTGCAAATGAGTTAGCATATTTGGCATAAAGAATGCATACATGCATGAAGAAATTTAAGTCGCAAGAATAGCTAAAAGAGAAGTCTATTCCTTCAAATCAAAAGGCTTGATGAAACCAATGGAGGTTATCAAAATTTTGAAAATTCATAACCAAAAATACAGAATTTGGAGATTGAATTTTCTGTTAAAATCATGTACCTTTCATCATCAAAAAGTTTGCATATGTTGCAGTAGTATTTTGCCATAGATAGCCCATTGCATGAAGGAGTTGTGCAGGTTGGCCCAACAGCCTGAACTTTGAGGCAACGCATACACATCATTTCTGATGTTGCTTTTCTGCAACAAATGAACCAAACATCACATTTACAGAAGCCTAGCTTTAAATTACAGCAAGAACATAAGAAATTACCTATCCATTGAGTGATCACTCATTTTGTCATGACAAAATCTACAGGTAAATAACTTGCCACAGCAAGCTGCACGAATTTTGCAGTTTCTTTTGTAGTGCTCACATCCAAATACTAGTTTCTCTGGATCTCGAAATGATGGTGTGTAGCTCATTACATCTTCACCATCAGAAGTTTCCCCAGCTGTTGCTTGAGGCAACTTCTGCTGTGCAGCTATCCAGCGACTAAAAGAAATCATATATAGATTAAATATATAGAACTCATGATCAGCAAAGTTTCAACAAGAAACAAGATTGCAGCATACAGAACAAGTACTGATGTACGATATTTAAAGTAAAACGTATAACAGTCATTGAAACAAACCTTGTCATCAGATTTTGAACTAGATATGCTTGTCTCCTGGGATCAAGAGTTGAGTCCTTATAAACCTTCCTGATCTCAGCCTCAAGCTCATTTTGATTCATACGAAAGATATCTTTCCATCCAGGCTTAAACATTGAATCCCTTTGATCCAAGCTTTCTTGAAAATCATTATCTAGAAAGAATAAAGTATAGATTGATTCAAATATTTTGACCCAAAATTATGCACTCAAAATAAAATGAACTATCAGATGTATGATGACGTTTTATAGAGTCTGCAAACTTTTCAAACAGAACAATCATTGAAGTGAATAAAAACCACAACANCATTGAAACAAACCTTGTCATCAGATTTTGAACTAGATATGCTTGTCTCCTGGGATCAAGAGTTGAGTCCTTATAAACCTTCCTGATCTCAGCCTCAAGCTCATTTTGATTCATACGAAAGATATCTTTCCATCCAGGCTTAAACATTGAATCCCTTTGATCCAAGCTTTCTTGAAAATCATTATCTAGAAAGAATAGAGTATAGATTGATTCAAATATTTTGACCCAAAATTATGCACTCAAAATAAAATGAACTATCAGATGTATAATGATGTTTTATAGAGTCTGCAAACTTTTCAAACAGAACAATCATTGAAGTGAATAAAAACCACAACAGTCACTCATGGGACACAGCATTGAAAACATAGCAAATACCTGTCTGAGAAATTTTTGCATTTGATGTTTCAGTGTCAGAAGATGATTCTGGAGGTCCTTTCCAGCATTCATTAAGCCACTCATTGAACATTGTGTTTTTGGTTGCCTGCTTCCACGTGTCCATCAATTTATTCTGCTCATCTTGAGTAAGAGCAGAAGTTACCCATGGTAGCATAGATTGGAGCACTTCGGCACCTGTAGATCCAATTATGCGACCAACAATTTTGTCTTGCTCCTCTAGAGAGAAATGTCTACCAAACAATGGCCACAGCTCTAGTTCTTCTCTAAAAATATGATGATCCAGAGTAACTTTTATGGATTTACACATCCCTTGAAGTTTAGTAGTTAGCTCAATATACTTGGCCATTAAATCATCCCTATGGGCTGCAGAGAATTCAGTGTCACTCTGAGTTAAATTTTCTTCCAAATGGGCCTTTTGCAAGCTTTCATGTAGTTGTGAAATCTCAGAAAGAACAAATGAAATATCTTCAAACAGTTTTTCCTCCTGCTTATGGTCCAACGTATATGAGTGACTCACATTATGAAGTGCTTCTTTTGCTTCCAGTGCTGGAAAAACAATTTCATCCTCAGCATTACTGTGAGCTCTGTATAAGCCCCATAGGAGTTGAAATCTTCCAATGAACTGCCGAAGGAATGTCTCATCACAATCAATCAGCTTTCCAGATTCAACATCCAGATACTCCAAGTCTTTGCTAATAGCTTTATGAAATTTGAATATGGTATCAATTGGTCTTTCTGCACATCCAACATCATAAGAGCTACTACTATTTGTTTCCCAGATAAACAGACTAGAATTAAGAGATGGAGCAGAGGAGCTGAAAGACAAGGACCGCAAAGACTTAGCTGCAGAGTGAGAACTCAATCCCAGATTGTTTCCGTCTACTCCTAAACCTGGGACACAACAAGGCCAATCACTCAAAGACCGCTTGGGGGGATTTGCAGTTTCCAAGGGGTCCAGATTGTTGTTACTTTTACACAACAGCGGGACATTTCTTTTGACTCGCCTTTTCACTTTATCTTGAGATGACAATGGACTGGCATTAGTGCAAAACTTCGAAGAGCAAGCATGACATGACTGAGAAAAATTTTCTTCAATATCAGCAAACTTTTTAGCAGGACAGCAACCAACTACATTGGGAGACAAGCATTCACCCTGATTCCTACCCTTGCAAGACCATCCAGAAAACAGAGTGACAAGAGCCTTATCCATTGCCGGAGCTGAATCAAAGACACAGACAGTTTCAAATTCATGTACATAACAGAAATTTACTGGATGCTACTATGTTGCATGTTACTGAATGGCAGTGGTTATAATACCTGCAGATCGCATGTTCTTAAGGAAATTTCTGGCTTCTTTGTCAGTGAATGACCCCATCAGCCATGGCAGGACACGCTCAATCAATTTTAATGGCATAATGCACAAACTTTGGTACAAAACTTCCTGCTGCCTTTTGAAGCTGAAGTGCTTTCGAGCAAGCGGAAGAACCTACACATGCAAGAATTTAATACATATCTTTCAAGAAGCAAAGACGTTTTCATAGAATTCTTATCAAGCAACACTAATAGAGTTGTGAAAAGAAAAATCACATAAATTTTGTTAGAGTTTCTATCATTACAGAACCAGATATGAGATATTTATTAAAATCCTAATGCTCTTTCTTTACTTATCACACTGCTGTTTCCCCAAAAAGAGTCTGTTTCACAACAGCATTTAAAGGAAACTTGCAGCACAAATTGATTACAGCTGATAAACATCCCTAAAAAAGATTCCTACACAAACAAGGAAAGCTCACCTGAACTTCCTCATTGTGGAAGTGCCCTAGTATAGCTTCCACTATTTGATCAGTATGGATGCACAACTTTTCATAAAACTGAGCAGCAGAAGTAGAATTTGCTCCTGCACTTTGAATACTTTCAATCAAACGCCTAAAGTCATTAAATTGGCTTTCTTCTTCAGCATGCTCCTGTGAAAAAGAAAATTCTCCGTCTACTGCAGGGAATATGATCTTATCTTCAGCAATACTGCAACCAGGAAAAAAGTGCTCCAGATGAAGAGAGGAACTTGTAAACTACAGTAGGTTGCTAACTAACCTTTCCTAAACAAAAACTATTAAAACACAATCGAATATAGATAATTGGGGTCATTCAATATCACACGACGATGCTCATAACTTTATAGCACAATATTTTAGGAAATACCTATGAAAAATGCAAACTTCTGCAATGAATTGCAAACGTCCCTCGAAGGCTGATAAATTACTAAAATCACCAGAAAGTTGTATCTTCTTGGCCTCCTTAGCTATCTCATTCAGCTCCCTTCTTATAGCATTGTGCCAAAGTAGTATTTCATTAATTGGACATATCCCAGTGGTAGAAGGGACATCATTACTTGGCTCATCATTAGTTGGCTCTAAATATTTCCTTTTTTCAGTCTTGGATGACTCACATGCACACTTTCCTCCTTCCATTTGTTGAGTCCATCCATTACTGATAGAATCTAGAAGACCTCCGACCTCAGAACCATCTATGCAATTTTCAACAGTGTCAATATCATTTCTTCCTTCCATCCACGTGAAAATAACCTTCAATAAATGAGAGCTATAATCAGCTATATGCACTCAACAAAAGATATCCAAAAATAGTTTAACAATCTGACAGAAACTGAAACCTGCCTGCTGAAGAAGCTTTTCTTCTGGGACTATCTTGCTTAAGCACTTTTGCATATCCTGATATTCATCTAGTGAAATAGAAGATGAGAGCCATGGAAGGAACTTTGCCATCATATTCACGGGAATGCTGCACAAAAACTGCCAGAGAAGAGATGCCTGTTCTTCAGGTGAGAACTTCCCAATGAGCAAGGGAAAGACCTGAAATAACCAAAGAGAACTCAATAAAAAATATCTGCTTTAATGCAGAGAATCTGATTAAATAGCAATCAGGATTTGAATATAGCAGCAACACAAAAAAAGAACAAGTAAATTATTTGAATTATTTGTTCATTCATTTAACTTTTTATTTTGTGCGTAACAACCCAAGGATGAGCAATAGAAATGCAAATACCAATTGGTTCAAAATTAACCCTAGTACCAGATGTTGGAGACCATTTTATCTTGCGTTGCTATATTTAAATCTCTTTTCCTTTCTGTTCTTTGCAGCACATCCTCATTATGGTTAAAGTTCAGTCAATGAATTGCCTTAATACCTAGGTACAGATGCAAATAGCACCAACTGAAACATTACCTGCTCTTCTTCCTTTGCCAAGTGCTGGCTGATTGATGTAAGAAGGGCTCTTGTACAAGATGCTAACTCCTTGGGGAACCTTTCATCATTTTTCCTATAAGAGCTTAGCAGCTCGAAAAGATGGTCAAATAGATTGCTTTCATTCTCGTGTTCAAGAGAATATGTTTTTGCTACGTTTTTTACACGTATATCAAGAGCTGGAAAGATAACCTGCAGTTTTACAAAATAGCTGAATAAACTTGGATATATTAGAGCAGAAAACGTAAATAAGTCATGCTAAAAGATCCCTTCTAGAAACCAAGATAAAACCAATAGACACACAATATGCTTGGTGTTACCGTGAACCACAGGGACCTTTACTTAGTTCAATCTTTTAAATGTACAAGGAAGCAGCAGTTGCTGAAAACTTTGATTTCGTATATTTCAATTACAGAATACTATACAACATGAATTTAAATGTTGACAGCTTGTTGCAAGCCTTGCATTATGTATCATAATTTTGTTATTCGAATTCCTGTGATAGTTAAGTAGCTATTAACAAGCAGAAATAATCATAATTTTGTTATTCGAATTCCTGTGATGGTTAAGTAGCTATTAACAAGCAGAAATAATTTCGTTAACCAGTAGGATGTACCAAAGTGAAAAGTGGTGGCAAATGAAATGAACAACTAGGATTATGCTACACAATAGCACGTATATGTATTGTCAAGAACCATAACATCATGCAGGAAGAATAATTTAGCACCGCTGACGTCCAAAAATGAACACCTATAGGAAAGATTACCATTTTGAATTGGTTATGGCCCAATCAATCAAAAGGAAATTTGTTCCTTGTTTGACTAGAAATTACAAGGATGCCCTCCTATGTGTCTCAAATGATCCTAAATTTGAAAATCTTGTAGCTATTTCCTTAACAAATTACTACCGTTACAAGAAAACATAGTAGGCAATTTTTCAAAACAAATAAATAAATATGTGAAACATAGAGCTATCTACTAGTCACATTTATTTCAAATACCTACATTAAATTTTTGTTTCTGGTTTTCCAGTTCTCATCATGGAAATTACATAAATAGTATGAAATAAAAGAACAGAAGACTTACAATGGAAGAAAACAGAGTAGCCACAATAAAAGAAATTATAACTAAAGACTGATAACACATATAAATATAAATACTAATTATAATAATAATAACAACAAACAAAAGTAAGATATTTGTAAAGAAAATGAAGCAACGGAATTGTACTTCCTCTTTCATTTTTCTTTCCATAAATTCCATTTCAGAAAGGAAAAAAAAAAAAAAAAAAAAAAAAAACAAAAGTAGTTCATTCTTCCATTCTCAACAAGCTCAAAATTGAAACAAACACAATAACCAACTCAAAAAATCAGAAATCCCCTTCACACAACATGTTTCAACAAGAACTAAAGTAAAGCAACAACAAAATATAATTGATAGAACTAAGCCAGAATCAGTCGCTAGCACAACGACTATCACACTCATTACATATTCAATAGCTGATCAAAATAAATTCCAAAAAAAAAAAAAAATCGCACACAACTGGAATGAACAGCTCCAAACTTGTGATCATGACAACAAACAAACATAATTCAAAATCCGAAAATTATAATATAACAACATTCATAAAACACATTATGCATATTTATCCTTTGATAATGATTAGAGCTTGTACCTCATCCTCAGCATTGGAGTGGTGCTGATAAACGGAGCGCAAGAAACGGTACCGTTCAAACAAGGTGCAAATATCGACAGGGTGTCCAGTGGCGAACTTCATGGCCAAGCGGTGAAGCGCGTCGAGCTCATTGCGGACCGCTTTGTGAAAGAAGCAAAAGATCAAAATCGGTGAGTCACGCTCTAAGCTCATCTTTAAGCAACATGTGAGCGACGTCGTGTCAGCTGAATCCGACGGATGTACGGCCTCTCGCGGCTTCAATTCCGGTAACAACGTCGCCATCTCGTCTCTGTGTAAATCTTTTTGTTTTCTTTTATCGTTTTTGTATTTATGGTTTTTGTTCAACGTTGAAACTTGAAACGGAGAATGGCAGAGAAGAGTCAGAAGACTGAAGAGAAGGGGGGAGGGATTTGTTTTGTTTGTTGTTTAAATAGTTGACTTGGTGCCAGATGGAGTGGATTAGCCACGGAGGATGATGACGTGGTAGAAGAGGTGGTCACGCGAGGAAATAGGATGGCACGTGAGGGAATTACTGAAAAAGTTCGGGTTTTGTCGGTTTGCCTGCCTTGTCCCGGTATCATGAGACTGGATAAGAGGAAGAAAAAGTGAGTGAAAGCCCGGTGAAAACTGAAAAGCGTAATTATGAAAAAAGAAATGGGAAATGTTTTGCAAAAATTATAAGATGGGGAAAGAAATGGTATCCAACTTATAATTACATAAAAGTAAATATAAATCATATGAGTAAATAAATAACTTTATAATAAGTACATATTTTACCTTAGCAGAGCTACAGGATTGAATTCCACACACATCACATTTATAACTAATCACTAAGAACTCACATTTCGGTGGCTGCTTAGAGCGATAGAGACTATTGATTTTATTATTCAAAAGGTCTTTAGTCTATTTCCCTTGATTGTTAATAAGAATAGTTAATAGAGGGTTTACTCGATCGTTAACTTCAAGGCTTTGAAGAATAGTCGACATGTGTGAAAGTTATCTAGTATCTTTAGGGTCTCAAGAATATTAATCGAAGTGTGTGCAAGTTACCAAATAACTTTAGGGTTTTGAGAAATTGATCGAGGTGTGTACAAGTTGGCATATACACCCTTATCACAAAAAAAAAAAAAAAACAAAAAAACAAAAAAAACAAAAACAAAAACAAAAATAATCACTAAGAATAATGTTAGGGATTTGATTGCCCAACTGGCTGCCTTATTAAAAGTCACTTAAATGATTTATGATAATATATATATACTCCTACTTTTAAAAGTAATTAACATGAAATATACTATAGATTTGTTTTAATTTCATAAATTTTGAATCAATAATTGATATTATTAATCTAATCGTAAATGTGTAATATTTTTTTTTTTTTATTTTTTTTTTAAATTGTGAGTTATTTTCTGAAAATTAAAGGTGGAATAATTTTTATGAACATAAGTAAATGTTTGGAACAAGGAATAAATATGATTTAATTAAGTTAAAGTCATAATCAAATAAAGTCAATTTAAGAATTGACAAGAAAAAAGAAAGGTTGTTGTAACGTGAATGGCTAAAGGTTTGTGTGCGTGGAGCGTGTCACGAATTAGCTAGCACTAGATTTACTCACGCCCTCTGAAGCCTTAGCTCACGTCGTCGTTTGGATAACACATTCCTTCTTAATTGTCCTTCAAGTAATCTATGTATCTTTAAACAAACTATTTCGCCCTTGAAATTAACAATTTAACAGGTGGGTGCCGATAGGAATTAGGTCTCAAAACTACTATTTAACACGTGTTTGATGTAAACTGCAATATTCATATTTTCTTGAAATAAATGAGGGATTTAACTTAGTAATAATTACTACTAATACACACACTTATTATTATTATTTAACAAATTTATTTTAAAATAATAATATAAGATAAGATATTAATATACACTTGTAACACAACTGCTCCTATTGACTTATGGTATTTTTTTGGGTTTTTTATTGCTAAATTTCTACTTCATTTTCTAATTATTGAACAAGCATTTGATATATACTATTTGACAAAAATCATGGGACCCTATTTTGTGGGTAATAATTAATATTTAAAATTGATAGCAAACTACCCCAATGAACAACTTGTAAATGTTATTAATTAATTTATATCAAAGTTTCGGATGATATTACTTTGATATCTTAATTTACATAGACTCATCCCAAGACCAAAGGCTTAGTTAATTATGTCATGATTATGATAGCTTAACTAAGGATGAAATATATAATTAAATTGACCTTTAATCTATGCACAAGTGTTGATTTTTTATATTAAATAATGAGAATATTACCCTAAACCCCCTGAGGTTTGCCATAAGAAAACCCCACCATACCTTATCCAACATAACTCTCCACCTTCTGTCGTCTATTGACCGTTAAACACTTTGCTGTTAGTTTTAACAGTTCGAGGGTAAATAGGTAAATGACTCGTTATTTTAATTTTAATAAAAAATTCTTATTATAATTTCTAATTAATAAAAAATAAGAAAAATATATAACTCAACCCAAACCTTTCTCTCCCCCACTTTTCATCCATCACTCCAGGACTTGAACAAAAGATGGGTTTCTAAAGAAGAAAAAGAGGAAGACTAAGGCAAAAAAGCCAGTTGTGTTAAAAGACATGAAAATAAAGTGTGATCTGAGCATGAATACGATAATGGTTGGTAATGGTGATGAAAGATGCATTTAGAATCCAATTTCATATATGTTTCCAAATATTTTAGGGAGGTGACAGTCCAGTTTGGTAAGTTACTATTGCTATCAAATTGGGTTTGGGGTTAGGGTTACTGGTTAGTAACTGTCGAGATTTTGGGAAGGTGAATGGATGGCTACTACTAGGATTTGAAGGTAAAATATCAAATTTAAATGTATAACTTACATGGTTTCCGTTGTAATCACGCTCTATCATGTACCAAAATGCATACATTTTTTTTTTATTAGGATGTCTGACCCAGTTTACGTGTATCTCAATTAATTTTCCGAGACCTTAAAGTTGACAGTTGAGTAAATCTCTTCAGTGGATACCTTTATTAGCAACCCAGATAAATCAAATTTAAGACCTTTTGAGTAATATATCCAAGAGTCATAGTTGACCGTTGGACAACCCATGGTGGTTCAAAATGCATACAATTGTTTATACATTTTTTTTTCTTTATAAATTATATATAATTATTTATGCAATGTTTTTTATATATATATGGAATTTCCTAATCAACTTATAGCTTTCTTTCACTTTCTCTTATATTATCTCCTTTTTCTGAATATAAGTAAAAATAATTGACTTTATCATGAAGAAAGTTGTGCGAAATGGCTAGCCAATATGGTGGTGGACATGATAAAAATCAAAGTGTTTCCAAAGAGAATCAATATCTTCTTTCAAGTGACTAAGACACAATCTAGATGAACCAATTTTAGTGAAATTCTCGAAAGACACAACACAACAAGGCCACAATTGCTCAACTCTCCCCATTTTTTGTAATGGGATTCTGCTTTATTTTCTTATGGGCTTATGTGGCAGTTTGATTCAACTCCATTAGCTGACCCAAAGTCTGTCCATATTCCCTTTTGATTCTTCAATTAATTTGGATTATTGTTAGTGAGAGGACACCTTTACAACCAACACAAGATTTACACGCAATCATAATGATAAAGAATACAAGATGATTGTGATTCCAGTGTTCACCAATTTTATGTTCACGTTGAGTTTCATTCTAACCTCTCATGGCGTTGTTAAAGAAGAGAATACAATTACAGAAGATTTACACAACTCACTCACTAATTATAGAATATAGAGAAAACCCCAAGAGTATTCTTCACCATTGTTACTTCCCTAATCTCTTGACTAAACAAGCCAAGTTCCCCAACAAATACAAATGAAGTTTACTTTTGGATTTCGTATAATGGTAGTGTAATATTATGTTGAATGGAAGCATCATTGATTTTAAAACAACATGAAAATGTGATATTGGTTGCTTTAATTGGATTAAGATATCCCTTTATATCTAGATATTCAATCAAAGAATGCTTTTAAAGAGGGGAATTTTGACATAGACACATCAAATATGCCAAATTAAGATTCAAAAAAGAAGGTGAATAATGAAGCATTAAGTCGAGTCTGCCCTGCAAATATATATGAGATAAAGCTGAGACTTTGGCAGGTCCAATTAGAACCAGGATCACACTACCCATTACCATTACCAAGAAGAAAGAAAGTCACTTTTTTATGGAAACTTTGATCCATCTTTCTTCAGGAATTGGATTTCACTATTACTTTAGTGTATTCTTAGAAGGACCACCAATCATGTTCCTCTTTATTATAACATTTTTTAAGAGCAAAGATTTCTATTTACAGTAGATTGTTCATTTACACAATCCCATATAAGGATAAAACAAAAGAAAGTGCTTTTCTTTTTGGTCGAACATTGAAGTAGCATTATATTGATACTGAGAATCTCATATAAAATATCTTTCAATGTTGCATAAATTTATCTAAAAATTGAGATATCAAAGTTAAAAGATTAATTTATTCAATGGAATCATTCCAAGTAACTAAAAAACTATCCTATTAGTTAGAGTTATCATCCGATCCAGAAGATTGACATATTGGATCGAGCCACTATCCTCCTTATAAGCATTAGAGTTTCTCCTTTGAATACCTGAATCCATCTACTTCCAAAAATAATTTATTAAATGGAGTGACTTTTTGCTTTATAAGGTTCAAAACCCTCTTACTTAATTATCATCCAACGTGAAACTCGACAATAAAAAATTCTAGCTAAAGGGGATTTCAAATGTGTAAAACCCACAGTTTCAGGTTCGATTTCTTGTTTGTGTAAATGTAATATCTTTGTCCATGATTTATCTAGAGGGTCATGATGGTGGATTGTTGTGAGATAGCTCTCTTTGAAGATTAGTCATGGACTCATAATGCACGTAAACTAACTCGAACACCTCAGTTATTAAAAAAAAAAAAAATTCTGGGTATGGCATAAAAATGAAGGACCGCCCAAAAATTAATCCTCCTTCAAAAGGGCATCCATGCATTTATGCGCATGCTTTAAGCAACTTTAATTTGCAATTGCACAAGCATGCACTGGCCTCCTTCATGCCCTCCCTATATAAGGTGCAGAGCATGCTGTCAAAAGCTTATATATTCAGAGACTAAAACGACAAGACTAGCTAGTTAATTAAAACAAATTCAAATTAACCAATTTCCTTCTTGAAAAATGGTCTTTTTACACGATCAAAGGAACAATAACCAGATTCAAAGAAGTGATTTTCATTTTTTTTTTGTAGCTTTTGAGATTTAATTTAACATGATATTTGTCCACTTCAATCCCATTTAACTTTAGTTCTTTACAAAAGGCATTCAACCCTGATATGATTAGATCTTCTCATCTTTTTTGAAATGTTGCTTTCCATTAAATACATTATTAAAAGAACAAGATTAAGGATATTACAATTACCAGTTCATATTAATTTTATCTTAAAATAAATTTAAACAGTCTTCTTGTTGTCGAGCTTTGTAAAAGCATTTGGTATTGGTTATCTGAATCGCCATTGAAATATTTCAAGTCATAGGCTTCATCAGTGGAAGAACCAGGCAATATTTGTCAAGAAATAAATCAAAGTACGTGTTGATGGTATGAACAAAATGATGACCCACATCCTTTATACTAGTTCGAACAAATTGATATCCACTAAACAAATAACAATAATTTATGACTTGTATTTGTTTCCACTTATATAAGAGATAGAATCTCTTTGGTGTTGACAAGACAGAGTGGAAGAACTACCGTCGATAACCAGACTACTTGGTTTTGGAAATATTAGCGTCAGATTCCATAAGACTCACAAAACGACATCTTCATCTACTGATTTTGATTTCGATTTAATTTTTACTCATCAACAGCATTTAACTCCTATAGCCCCATATTATACTTCTCAAATCACTTTGGGACTATAGGGTGTTTCAAGGGCTGTTTATCCATTAAAGTGGTATGTAAACTGGTTCAAAATTACCTCCATTAAATGGTCAAATTTTATGGTCTCAGCCTCTCACTGTTTCTCTCGGTTCTCTAGTGCTGCCAATGCAAGGAAGTGCTACGCTAACTTTATGGGCATAAGTGCCCCAGCCCAAGAGGCTATAGGCCTTCGAACCAAAATCAGTGTCACTTGGGTTTCAAACCCAAAATCAAATGGCAAAAGCTCGGAAGGGAAAACAAGTTTCTGATCCTTATATTATACATGGAAATTGGTAGAGCAAAGATGTCTAAGTCACACAAATCACAATCTTCATTTTCTAAAAAATTCCTCATCCACTCTGTTTAATCCCTCATTTGATTATTATTTTGATTCAAGAACTAGATAAGAGGTGTTGATCGTTCATCCTAATTCTCTATCTTTTTGATAAATTTAAACACTTTTTCAAAGTTCTTTTTTTCATCTCTCACTTTTGATACTTATTTTTTTATTTTTTTTTTAATGACCGGAGTGTTTGGACTAGTTTTTGCGTATCTCGATTAATCCTCAGAACACCCTACAAGTAATGTGCCACAAATGTGACAAGTAGTCCTAGAATTCGAACACAAACCTCCTTAACGGCCATATCAACCCCTTGTGGTTAACTTGTGGTGCTAATTTTATAGGTCTCTTGTTTGTAGTTTGGTACACATTTCCAAAAAAAGCCATCTCTAACGTCCTTTTCCAATGAACTTGGGCCTGGCCATTCTACAATTTGAATATCGTTGATCCTAAATTAATCAAGTTGGGCCTCTTCTATTTTGTTTGTCGATGCCAAGGGAAACAATCTCCTTATTTATTTTGATTAAAATGGTCCACCTTCGTGAAATATATTAATAATTACATTTTGAAGAATAATTCTATATCATCATCACTTAATTCACATTTAATTAAATTCATAAAATTATAATCTTATTTCATTCTTTAATTCATCGTCATCAATCATCAAGCTCACCCTCGGAGTTTTCGACCCTTTCCGAAACAAACATACGTTTGCTTACAGACGAAACGAAACAAAACAAAACAAACTGAAATTTCTCCCTCAAATTCAGACAAATCTCTTCATCACCATCATCATTACTATGTAATCCTTCAATCCATAACAAAGACACTTCTCTAAAATGGCTTCTACTTCAATCATGGACACCCTTTTCCAGCGCAATCTCGATGACTTAATCAAGGGCTTCCGCCAACACCAAGTTAAAGAATCTGTATTCATCGCCAAAGCCCTCGAAGAGATTCGTCGCGAGATCAAATCAACCGACCTTCACACCAAATCCGCTGCTCTTCATAAACTCTCCTATCTCAACTCTCTCCACGGCATCGACATGTCGTTCGCTTCGTTTCACGCCATTGAAGTCATGTCGTCCCCGCAATTCCTCCACAAGAAAATTGGCTACCACGCCGTCACTCAATCGTTCCACGAAGACACCCCGGTAATGCTCTTGATTACCAACCAATTACGTAAAGATCTGAATAGTCATAATCAGTATGAAGTCAGTTTAGCTCTTGAATGTTTAGCGAGAATTGGGAATATTGATCTTTGTAGAGATTTAACTCCTGAAGTTTTTACTTTGTTGTCTAGTAGTAAAGCTTTTGTTAAGAAGAAAGCTGTGGCAGTTGTTTTGAGGGTTTTTGAGAAATACCCAGATGCGGTTAGGGTTTGTTTTAAGCGTTTAGTTGAGAATTTAGAGAGTTCGGATCCGTTTATTGTGTCTGCTGTTATTGGAGTGTTTTGTGAGCTTAGTTTGAAAGACCCCAGATCTTATTTACCATTGGCGCCGGAGTTTTATAAGATTTTAGTTGATTCGAAGAATAATTGGTTGTTGATTAAGGTGTTGAAGATATTTACTAAGTTGGCACAGTTAGAGCCTAGGTTGGCGAAGAGGGTTGTTGAGCCAATATGTGAGCATATGAGGAGGACTGGCGCGAAGTCTTTGCTGTTTGAGTGTATTAGGACTGTGGTGAGTAGTTTGAGTGAGTATGAATCCGCAGTGAAGCTTGCAGTTGCTAAGGTTCGGGAGTTTTTGGTTGATGATGATCCAAATTTGAAGTATCTTGGATTGCAAGCACTTTCAACTATTGCACCAAAACACTTGTGGGCAGTGTTGGAGAATAAGGATTTTGTGGTTAAGTCCTTGAGTGACGGGGATTTTAATATAAAGCTTGAGTCTTTGCGTCTTCTGATGGCAATGGTGTCTGAGAACAATGTAATTGAAATAACAAGGGTTTTAGTTAATTATGCACTTAAATCTGATCCTGAATTTTGTAATGAGATTCTTGGTTCAATTTTATCTACTTGTTCTAGAAATTTATATGAGGTAATTGTTGACTTTGATTGGTTTGCATCACTTCTTGGGGAAATGGCAAGAATCCCACATTGCCAAAAGGGTGAAGAAATCGAGAATCAGCTAATTGATATTGGTATGAGGGTCAAGGATGTTAGACCAGAGCTTGTTAGTGTCAGTCGAGATCTTCTGATTGATCCTGCATTACTTGGTAATCCTTTCTTACATCGGATATTATCAGCTGCTGCTTGGCTGTCGGGCGAGTATGTTGAGTTCTCTAGGAATCCATTTGAGCTTATGGAGGCATTATTGCAACCTCGTACTACTCTCTTGCCGCCCTCTATAAGGGCAGTGTATGTTCAGTCTGCTTTTAAAGTATTAATCTTTTGTATACACTCTTATCTCATAAGCAGGGGAAATGGTGCTTCCTCCTCGTGTCCTGAGAATCTGTCATCAGGAATTGCAGGAACAATCTCTGTAAGGAAGTTCCCTGAAAATTCAGGTTTAGCAACATTAGAATCTCCCGCCCATTATGAAGAGGATGAAGAGTTTGATCCGAGGGATATAACTCAACCATTTGAAGATCTTTCTATAGAAAATGGAAGGGATGCAACTTTTTCTATTGGTCAGGCATCTACTTCTGCTTCTCTACCCAAGAACATTTTCACCCAAGAATCTATTGTTAACCTGTTAAATCTAGTTGAATTGGCCTTAGGGCCACTCTCCGTGAACCATGATGTAGAAATACAAGAGAGAGCAGGGAATGTACTTGGTTTAATTGACTTGATAAAGCATGAAGTACTTAATCCAATAGTCCAAGGAGAAGAGATTTTGGCAAGGGAAGAAACTGTAGCCTCTAGTGTAGTGAAGTTGATGTATGATGCCTTTTCCAAGGAGCTTGGCCCAGTCTCATCCAGTGCTCAGGCAAGGGTTCCTGTACCAGAGGGGTTAATGCTTAATGAAGATCTTGCAGACTTGGAAATGGTCTGTGGCGATGTTCAATCACCTTTGTCAAGTTCATTTTCTCTTGACAGTGCTCAATATGGGGAAATCCTTGGTGTTTCCCCATCTAACATCCAGAGCAAAGATGAGTCGGAACCATCAAACGAGTCCACTTCTCTGCTTGCAGAACACCGTAAGCGGCATGGCTTATATTATCTTTCTTCAGAAAAGACTGAGACTGTATCAAATGATTATCCTCCTGCAAACGACCCAATGTCACAGGATAAACTCAATGACGATGCTGATGATCTAGTTAAGTTCACAGAGCAGTCATTGGCCCCAAAGAAAAAGCCTAACCATGCAAAGCCTAGGCCAGTGGTGCTAAAATTAGATGGAGATGAGATATCCATAGCAGCCAAGAAGCCTGAGCTGATGGGTGATTTACTGTCTGGTGCGGTGCGGGATGTTCTTTTAGGTAATGAAGCTGTACCTGCTTCATCACTAACTAACCAGTCTGATAAGCCATCTAGCAGGAGAAAAGGGAAGGAGAAGAATATTGATCTTCCTCTAGAATCAGAGAATATTGGTGGTGAGGAGATGGCTGGTCAGGGCAATACTAGCTCAAGAAGAAGCAAACACCACAGAAGTCATGGTAAAGAGAGAAGACACAAAGTTTCAGAGAAGAATGTTGAGGGAAAAGAAGATAATGTTCAGAAAGAAAAGAAGAAGAGTAATCATAGCCATCATAGGCATAAAGCTCGACAAAAAGCTGATGAGCCCTTAAATGTGGTTACACAAACAGCAGTGGTTCCTGATTTTCTTTTGTAGCACTAAATTTTCAGCTACTGCTGCAGAGAACTTGGTCAATGTTGTTTCCTGTATTCTAACACTATTGAGTTCTAAGGTTAGTGTTGCTGTAGATTTATACAATTTTTTTTGTCTTTCTTTCTTTTTGGTTGGGGGTTGTGATTTTCTTGAAGATTTACCTCTGGAATTGGTTTTACATCTTATACTTTGTGACTTTCATTTATGAAGTAAAAATTTTCAATGATTGAAAATGATTTGCCTTCTAAACTGCTTCTAAGATGGATATGATCCCATAGTCTCTGTGTAATACCTTCCCTTTTGATGATGTTTTAACACTGATAACGAAGCTAACAATGAGTAGTCTGAGTTTTTGGTTGAGGTAGAGCTTATTTTTCTCTATTGCTTCTATGTTCATGTTGGACAAGTGACCTTTTCCATGAGGAAACCATCATTATTGTCAATATTTGATCTATTAATAGAATTTTCAATGAAGCTCCTGAATGAGTTGCATCATAAATTTAGCAGACATTTGTATTGATAATGTTATATTTAATGTTAATGAGTTAATGCAATCGTTGTAAGAATTGTTGTGATGTACATGTTGTGGACCATATGTACAGGTTGAGAGCTTGAACTTTGTCTCCCTCCCCGGCCTCTGCCTAGCCAACCCAACAATGAACTGGGAGGCATTCATTCTTTATGCCCCTGTGTTGGAAAGAATTTGAAGCTATTTGACGATGAGTCCAATTCCCTGAAGCTTAATCTGATATGGGCCTAAATTGGACCAAGATATAGGGATGTAAAAAATACACAGTTCGGCCCGGGGTAACTGGTCTGGGCATAAATTATACCAGGCCCGCGCCTGAAAAATCAAGCCCAGGGTATATCATATGAAATTTTAAAAATTTCTGATAACCTCTAGCAAATTATAGATTACCCCTTTAAAACTACAAAACACCTTCTCTGAAGTAAATTTTGGAAAGCCCTTCGAAAGTTAACCTCCTAGAAAAGTAATCCAGCCACTTGCATAAGTAAAATTTTAAAAGATCCTTATCATTTCAACCAAATCTGAACAACCGGGTTTTAAACCGGGCGGGCTCAAAGTATTTAAAACCCTACCATGATCCTTCAAACAATCATTTTTATTCAAGAGATAAAGTAAGGTACTTGTCACTTGTCAGCTTCTTAATTGGTTGGCTTTTGATGTGCTTCCACTCCCAACCCACCAGGATGTATTAGCCAAACCCAATAAGTTTAAATATTTCTCGGCCAACCAAACCCAATAAGTTGAAATATTTATATGATATTCATGTTTTCATGAATAATTTAGATTAGGACTTTGACTCTTCTTCAACCTCCTGATTAGGCTTTGGTTTGTGCCTTTTCTTCAGTGTGTAATTCACCAATCATGTTGAAGCACTTGCGCTTTCATGCGATACAAAAAAAGGTGATTCACTAATTTTCATCCTAATCAAGAAAACTAAAACAATGTACAAAGACCCGTAATGTGTGCATTGAGAATCCAAATGTTTAATTGTCTCTTCTGACTTTCATTATTGTTTAATCAAACTTAATTAACACAACACTTCACACTGATCACAAGATTTTAAAACATTATTTTTTAAATTAAAGTTTAAAAAAGTCTAAGCATATATTATAAGTTGCCTGAACCATCTTCTTATAGTCAATGACTTTTTTCCACCCAAATAATGGCTTAACGACACTTTTTCATCCACAGACTTTTAAAATACCACTAAACTATCCAAATTTATACTTCGACGAATTGAGAGCAAACTCGGCCTAGGCTATTGGAGATTTTAAAAAGGGGAGGCCGATGAGTCTTTTGGTGATGCAATGTTGGATTTTGGTGGTATGGATCAATCAGAATTTGACTTCAGAGGGGCGGTTACACAAACCTTAATCACTCGATTGTTGACGACGATTGACAGGGTTGGCGGAAGTAGGGTTTGAGAGGTTTTGGTGAGTGATAATCGGGAAAGAGAATGGTGGTGGTGTGAGGTTGCAATGATGCCGGAATGGAAAAAAGAATTTAAATTTTTGTATCTAAAATGATGTTTTAAAAGTTTGTGGGTAGAAAAGTGTCATTAAGCCAAATATTTATTTGGGTGAAAAAAAGTCCATCTTCTTATTTCGCATTCAATTTCTTGTGCTGCAATGGATGTATAGATGGTTTATTTTATTCAAGTATTTGAGTAAAACATACAACTTTTTCAATATCCAATGTCGATTTAGACCAAAACACATGCATGCAATCTTAACTTTCGCTTCAATATTTCTTCCAACTTGTTCTACCCAGCATTGATCTAATAGCTAGCTAGAGTCTTCACCCTGCACATTCAGGACATCTCTTAATTCCCTTCTCTCTGTGAGATCAAGTAGAATCTAAAAATGGGCAATGAACATCAACATTCTCCAATTTCATTTGTCAAGCTTCTGAAATTTCACAGGCAATTAAGCTATTTATCTCATTTTGTGCTCTTTGTTACTGGTTTGTCCCTCGGAATCACGCTCTGTGTATTTTTCCAAACCTTCTCCTTCAATTTACAGTCTAATTTACTCTCTCTATCGCTGTCCTCGCCATCCTCTTCACTAACAAGATTGCGAGAAGAATTGTCGTCGCTATCACTATCAACACTACCGGAATCATCATCGCGGGCTCCTTCATTACCTCGTTGTAATAATTTGGAATCGAGTGATAAGTCATTAATCATGCACAATATGGATGATGATGAGTTGTTTTGGAGAGCATCGTTTGTGCCGAAAATTGAAGGATTTCCTCATCACCATGTCCCGAAAATTGCTTTCATGTTCTTGACAAAAGGGCCTTTACCTTTGGCTCTCTTGTGGGAGAAGTTCTTTGAGGGAAGTGAAGGCCTTTATTCCATTTATGTTCACCCTCATCCATCATATAATGATTCAGTGCCTACAAATTCTGTTTTTTATGGAAGAAGAATTCCTAGTAAGGTGAGTTCCTCCTAATTTTTTTTTTTTTAATTTTATTATTATTATTATTTTTTATCATATAAGTAAGTATACAAATAGAGAAAATGATACATACCATGATCCTACAAATATTTTGTGCCTTACACAAAATATTTGTTATGGTAACTAACGCTTGTTGGGAGCTAAAAGTTTCTACGTTAAAACTCTCTAAATATTTTAAAAAACAATAAAGAAAATATACATCTAAATTTGCACTTTTTAATCAAAGATTTTTCATATGAGACACTTGAGAGAATAAAATTAGGGTTACCCACAATCTATAGAATTGGAAAGGATAACCAATTGGATCAAACGATTAATTATAAAGATTAAATGTCTTATGTTCAAATCTCTTACTGTCACATCAATCCTCTAATAAAATTGGATCTACACCATGGATGATCAAATGGGTTCCGATTGGACAGTGACATGAAATATATGTGAATTTTCTATTCTTTGAGTTATTGCAGCCAGTGGAATGGGGAAAAGCGACAATGATGGATGCTACAAGGCGTCTTTTAGCTAATGCACTTCTTGATTTCACCAATCAAAGATTTGTGTTACTATCAGAAACTTGCATTCCTTTATTCAACTTCAAGACGACATACAACTACCTCATTAACACTAATGAAAGCTACATCGACTCCGATGTTACTCCAAGCAAAGAGAGCCGTGGCCGATACAATCCTCGTATGTTTCCCACCATCTCCATTTCTCAATGGCGCAAAGGCTCCCAATGGTTCGAGCTCAATCGAAAACTCGCCAATGAAATCGTCTCAGATAATACATATTACCCTGTTTTTCGAGAGCATTGCACCGCGCCATGTTACATGGATGAACATTACATTCCTACACTAGTTAATATTTTGAAACCTGAGGAAAATTTAAATAGAAGTATTACTTGGGTCGATTGGTCAAAGAGAGGTCCTCATCCTGGAAAATTCAGGAGGCAAGACATTTCCGATGAATTTTTGAATCGAATAAGGTTCGGTAGCCATTCTTGTACTTACAATGGCATCAATGCTTCGGTATGTTTTATGTTTGCTAGGAAATTTTTGCCAAATACTTTGCAACCTTTGTTACAAATGTTGCCAATTTTGTTCTATTTCAATCAATCTTTAACATCAATGTAATAGTTTATTCATTCATGAATTCAATTGTGATTTATTCTGTGTTTTGCATTTGTTTCTCATCAGATAATTAGGTTCAAATAATTAAAATGTGATAATTAATCTAATCGTATACTTGGGGTCTCAAATGACTTCATTTTCAAATGAGGAAAGGACCTGTTCCCACCCAAGGTTTGGCAAGATGGGAAGTTTCCACCACTAGTTCTATAAATTCTAGATTCTTACCTTCAATTAAGGGGAAATAAGGGTCAACTCCACAGCATTAAATATGAAATAAAAATAAAAATATTCTAAAACAACCTTTCCATCTCAAAATCGACAAAGTATCATGTCATCCGCGTGGAGATGATTCCAATCGGTTTCACCAAATGGCAGAAATCATCAACTTATCATTTCAAGTGTTTACCAGTCTTGCTAGCCCTAGGTTTCACAACCAGGTCATCACGCTAATAGCCATTTTTGGCTTTTGGCTATACCAACGTCGTGGCCTTCCCCGATACCACTATCTTTTCTCAACCCTTAGACAAACCCATGACACCTCACCGTTACTCTGTCAATCGTTGGCCACCGTCACCTTTTGGTCAGTGACTTCTCAAGCTTTTTCGTCAATCTTGTATCAGAATACCTTCGTCACACCCATCACTTCTCTGACATTGCTCTCCAAAACCCCTACAACCGAACTTGTTAGCCCGTCGGTCATATCCACCTCTCTTAGGTTTTGGTTTTTAATAAAAATTGAAGAAGAGGGGGTTATTAAAAATATTTGAAAGTAAGATGATTTTCTCTAATTCTATTAATTTGGGGTTAAAAAGTAATTTATTAATTTATTTGTTAAGGGTAGTATGGTAACAACACTTATATACTGGTCAAAACCCAAAAAATATTAGTAGTGTTAATTTAAGGGTGGGATTTGGAATTTATAAAACTATGGGTGGGAACAGATTCACCAAACCTTGGGTGGGTAGGTGTCGTTTTCTTTTTCAAATTGATTAAAGGCGCCGTGGGGACTTGGAAATTAGCCACCTACATTAATTGAGGAGAACGTTTTCCAGAGATTTTTAATAGAGTGATCCTAATCCAAATCAGCCTCACCTATGACCATTCCTGATTAAACCCATAGACATTTTAGGATTAGCACATCCTTTAAACAGTTGAAAACTTCTTTAATTCTTCGTGTTTTTTCAAATATCAATGGGATTAATATTGTAACCCGCACCATTTAAGTTTCACAGAAACTGAATTTGGTGGATTTAGTAATTAATAACATAAATGTGATTTATAACATTAAGTGTAACGTTTCATGTTATAATTAAAAAAAAAAAAAAACTATTCAATTATATATGTTATTTTAGTATATCAACTAATTAAAATATTAAAAATTCTTTTATCTCATTAAAAAAAAGGGATAAGGTTGTTTGAAATTTGAAATAAATTAAATATTTTTAGCATCTTATTATCACTAAGCTAGTGTGGTGCTGTATTCCATGCTTCTTTAACTTTGGCGTGAAACACATTTATTGACAATTTATAGCAATTAGAGGTATCACTTCAACCAGCTAAAAAAGAAATTAAAAAAAAAAAAAAAAATCTCTTCCTCTGGCTAAATTAGTGGCTTGACTCCTGAAAGTTTTACTGTACTTCTCTGTTTTGACCTCAGGTGTACGCTTTCCCAAATAAAGTCTCCCAGTAGGTTTATTCATCTCCGGCGTATTTTGAGCCTCATCCCACCTCTACTACTCTTCTTAAGTATTAAAGTTTTGTCTATATTTCCGTCTTCGTTTTTAATTAAAAGATCAATTTTGAGTTCCATTAGAACTGTGTATGTGTTTTTGAGAGAATTAATAGGGTATATATTTGTTTATTCTTCATTTTAATTATCCAATTATTTTATTATATTTTTTCATTACTCCAAAATTCTGTGAAGTTTATATATAGAGAGAGTAATACATAACGGTGGAGTGCTCAGATTGATGACTTCAAGTTTAGGAAACAACTTGAAGCTGTTCCTCTGATTTAAACCCAAAAAACTTCTTCATTCAGAAAACCAGAAAACTCTTCGTCTTTTCTTTCTTCAACAATGAAGAATGATCAGAAACATCACCTCCTACCATGGTCAATCCCCATGTTTTTCAATTCCCAAATGCATTTACCCAATTTCTTTTTCTCTTTTCTTCTGTTTGCCTGCGGTTTAGCCTTCGGAATCACCCTCAGTTTTCACCTCAAAGACATTTCCTTCAGTTTTCAGCTCAATCAACTCACCGACATCCCACTTTCCCCTCCAAATCTAATCACAATCCCTTCTCCACCACCGTCTTGTTCATCTTCCCAAGTTAATACATCAAATAATATTCAAACAAAAACTCCGGCTCCGACTCGAATCGGATTGGAAGACTACTTGAAACCTGCAGCTGATGCCATGCATGATATGGGAGAAGATGAGTTGTTATGGAGAGCTTCAATGGTTTCTCGCATTCAAGAATTTCCATTCAAGCGTGTCCCAAAAGTTGCATTCTTGTTCTTGACGAGAGGTGAGGTGACTTTTGCTCCTCTTTGGGAGATGTTCTTTAAAGGACATGAAGGGCTTTACTCCATTTACGTTCATTCAAGTCCTTCCTTCAATGGAACTGTTCCTGAAACGTCAGTTTTCCATGGCCGAAGAATCCCAAGCAAGGTTAGTACATAATCTTGTTAATTAATCTTTTTTCATAATTTTTATCGATTCATGACAAATTTTAAGTAAATAAAAACAAGGGATTTCTGTGGTTTTTGATTGTTTTACTATGTCTTTTCTATCTCCCATTTGCTAGCCGTACGTTGGTTAATATTTGTAATTTCAGATTATTTTCATTGCATATATAATAGTATCATTGTTGCCTTTGAAATATTGTTTAGATAATATAGAATTGAGTGATAGTAGGTATTAGTTGAAGTGGCAAAATCTTTTAAGTATTAAGAAGTTAGAAGTTTTGGATTGTCTCTCCTTAAAATCAGGGTTAATTAAGATGAGTTTAACTTAAATTTTAAGATAGGAAACAAAAATTAGGGTTAATTAATTAGGTTGAATTTCAATTAATCAAAATTTAACAGTTTAAAAAGATAGAAAAAATTAGGGTTAATTAGAAATAACAATCCTCTGTTTTCACCTTGAGTCAGTTTTCATTTTCATCTTATTATTATTATTTTTTTTTTGAAAATTTATTTATTTTAATATTCAGACTAAACAATAACAAAACCCATAGGAACGAATTTAGGATGTTCTCTTACAAAAAATATTTTATTAAGGCTTTATTCTGTATTTTTTATTTATTAAAAGTAAAATAAATAATTTACTTTTTACAACTAAATATAATTTTTAATTACAACTAGACTAGGAGAGGGACATGACATACTTAAAACCATTTAAAATAAAAAAACTTATTAGAACGATTTTACCTTCCATATTCTTGTTTAACTTTTGCTTAACCCCCCAGAAAATTATTGAAAAAAAAATATGAAAAAGATTGTGTTTGGTTTCATCTGTTGCACGTCTCCAAACTTGTATCTCTCCGAAGCCTGCCGAATATTTTGCTGCCGACAAATATACGTGTAGAAACCCTGTTGGCAACCAAGATTTAGTTAAGTTTTGTTAATTGAACCAAGGAAGCATTTGACGTAAAAGATTACCTATTTTAATGTTTGCCAATAACGTTGTGACAAATAATGGGTTTTTTTTTTTTTTTTGTACGAATTAATCATTGATCAACAATTAGCTGTAAAAGAAATGTGCTATTTTAAAAAAATTGTAATAGTAAAGAAGATGTGAAACACGAAGAGACGTACCAATAAAAAAATATTTGAACTAATCACAATCAGACAGTTCAAGAACTGTCTGATTGTTGTTGGTTTTTTAATACACATTTATTTTCTTTGCTAATGCCTAGGCACAACCTTTACCAAATAGCAACGGCATGTGTCATTTAATTTGTTTAATATATGCAAATGGCAATCCATGATTTAGTTTATCTAACTTTCATTAAAGTTTATAATAGGTATAGATGAATCTATCACCCATCTAATAAAATTCATATAATCAAATACATAGACAAGAGACTTTTTTTTTTTAAGTGATCAGGATGTCTGAGCCAACTTATGTGTAATCTTAAAACTACCAGATGAGTAAGAGTTCTAATGGTCATCTCAAGAGTCTCTATCGAACCATTTACCCACCCAACGGTTGTTTGTAGACAAGAACTTTCTTTATAAACATGTTATTAAGTTTTAATTCTTGTTGATTTTAACGAATGTTGACAAAGGATTTTTAATATTGGTGACTCTGGTAGAATATTAGAACCTTCCTGTAAATTTGTAGTCTCAATGCTAACATTTTTTCTTTCACAAATTTAGGAAGTGGAGTGGGGACAATTTAGCATGCTTGAAGCTGAGCGTCTCTTGCTAGCGAATGCCTTGCTTGACATCTCCAACGAACGTTTTGTTCTTCTCTCAGAATCATGTATTCCCTTATTCAATTTCTCCACAATTTACAATTATCTCATAAACTCCGAAAAAACTTATATTCAATCTTATGATTTACCCGGGCCGGTGGGCCGAGGCCGCTACCACACTCCAATGAGCCCAATAATCAAGCTCAAGCAATGGCGAAAGGGCTCCCAATGGTTTGAAATGGACCGGGCCCTCGCCGTTGAGATAGTCTCTGATACAACATACTTCCCCCTCTTTAGAAAATTTTGCAAGCCCATTTGCTATGTTGATGAACATTATTTGCCGACAATTGTGAGCATGAAGTTTTGGAAGAAGAACTCCAATAGGACTGTGACATGGGTCGATTGGTCCAAGGGTGGACCTCATCCAGTTAAGTTTCAAAGACAAGATGTGACAATTGAGCTTTTGAATAGGCTGAGGGATTCAAGGAAATTATGTGATTATAATGGCAAGAAGACTAAGATTTGCTTCTTGTTTGCAAGGAAGTTCATGCCAAATACTTTGGATAGATTGTTGAAGTTTGCTCCTAAGGTTATGAAATTCAATTGATTTGTATTGATATGTGTATATAATTATTTTTTCCTCTGAGGGTTTGCTTTGTGTGCAAAAGATATTTTTTCAAAGACATATTTCAATTGACAAATAGTTTTTTATTCCATTATTATATGACTTGGTTGTGTTTATGACATTAGTACTATAACAAAATGACATGAATACAAGCACAATCTAATGTTATGTCGAGTTTAAGATTTAATACCATGAAATTAAATCATTTTGTTTTCAATATAATGACCGATTTGACGCGTATTTTAGAATAGTCTCATTTTTTGTTTTTTTTTTTGTTCCATGTTTTATAATTTTATGCTTTGAGATCTAAAACTTTTGTTGACAACTACCCTTTCAATTGATTAAAGGTCTCATTTAATCAATTGAAACAAAAAGTCCCCAATGGGCAGGTAGATTCATAGTGGATGAGTCAAGCAGTGATTGAAAATAACGTGTAGCATGAAACAACAGAGTAAGCATGGTGTAACCTGCCGGGAAACCTTGCCATACTTTCCCGGAAAGTGTTATTTGCCTATTTGGTAATCACCCAGAAAATCATGATGGCTTTCTATTTATCATCACTTACTACTTTTTGTTTGTTCAAATCAAGCCCAGAAGAAGGGGATGTTTTATCAAAAGTCCCAATCTTTTTACATTTTTTCATAGACAAATTCAAAAAATATATTTATGGGGAATTTTTTTTTTTTGTCATTAGACATTAGGGAACATTATATTTGTTGAATTGAATAAAAATTAAAATATGAAAGTGTAAAGTTTAGGACACTTTATGTTTAAAAAGATGGTTATAATGAGAGACGGTTAGATGGGTACTAATTTTTTTATTTTTATAAAGTAAATGGTACTCCAACGTGACAGGGGAGTTAGGTAAATATTAAATACCCCTGAATTCTTAAATAATTCATAAAGGTAAAGTATTTTTGTAAAATTATCACAAATATTCTCACACTCTAGCCTATTTTCACAAAGTTACAAGGTCTCTCTTGCAATTTCACACTATTGACATTGGAACCAAATTAAAATACCATTATGTATATAAATAATGTAATTTTAAGGAATTGACTTAGTGGTCAAGGAGGTTTGCTCCCTTTATTAAGTTTTTTAATTTAAAATGTTCGATAAACTTTAGGGATTAATTGAGGTACTTGCAAACTAACTTGGACACCTCAATTATCAAAAAAAAAAAAAAAAAAAAATCTCAATACTTGTTTTATATATACATAAAATTTATAGTTACTTCTCATAAGTCATATCTTCATAATTCAAATTTCAAACAGTAATAATATAACTGTAAAAATCTGAATAATGTTTAGGGGTGTTTGTCTAAGCTTATAAGTTGGTCAAACTAGTTTATAAGCTCTAAAATTAAGTTGCCCTGTTTGTATTTTACTTTTTTGAGCTTATATACCAAAAAAAAAAAATAAGTTGAGAGAGGTACTTTTTTTTTTTGGCTTACAAGCACTCTGCTTATAAGCTAGTTTGACCAAATATATTACCACATTATCCTTATTTAATTTTAAAATTTTCATAGTATACTTCTATTTAACGTAGTATCTTTTTTAGTTATTTTATAATAAAATTTACTTATAAGTCATATTTTACCAAACACGTCAATTACTTATTAGTCACTTATAAATACTTTAATCAAATACATAAATGCTTAAAATTTTAAATGCTTATAAACTACTTATTATTTATAAGCTAATTTTTATAAACTCAGACAAACACTTTTTTAGTAAAGCGGTTAAAATGATGACGTTTTTCTTTATTTTCACGCAATTATGATGTCTGTTGAGAGTTTTTTTTTTTTTTTTTTTTTCCCTGAAGTGTCAGTCAATAATGATATGTCTACTATTATAAAAGCTTTTTCACTTGTCATTTTCCCATTTCTAAATTCAAACACTACAAAATAAATTTATTCCATTTCTTAAAGTACTAAATAACAACTAAGGACAAAAATCGTTAATGCACTTATTTATACGTTTAAGCCTTTAAGGGACATAATATAGACCTTCCAAAGCAATTTACACTAATCACGGCAAAACCCATTTTAAGAAAAGGTTAATGGAATGGAAATTGGAAACAGAATTTTGCAAACAATGTAAAAGTAGGGGTGTTTATGATAATTTTATAAATGATGGGATTTCTTCAAATTAATTCAAAGTATGGGACCCAAAATTTCTTTTGCGCCCAAACGATCTTTCCCGGAAATAAAGCATTAGACCAAATTAAACACGGTACATCGGTCCAACCTTTTCCATTTAGAGTAATCTCATCACGGAACACCATGATTCTCAACCGTCTGATTTGCATACATTTCACTGCCAATCACCCAGATCAAAGATCATCAATTCATGATGGTTGACTTTTGTTGTAGTGTTGACGTCAAAGTCGATGCATCATATGCATAGGTCACTACGGAGTGAGTTGCTCAGACCCTTCTCTTATCATTCCATGAACCTTCTCTTTATATTATTTTACTGATAAATTTTCAATATTTTGTCTGTCTTTATAGTCTTCGTTTTCATATAAATCAACCCATTCTATCCCTAACCCTAATTGCAACTTCCCAACAGTTCTCTCTCTCTTTGATCTTCAGTTACCTGGTAGATTTTTCGGGCTGATTCTTTACCAATAATTTCGCAAAAATGGCGGCTAAACGGTTTTTTAACGAATCTGGGGCCGACTCGGATCAACCACCCGAGAAAAAACCCAGAACTAGACCAACTTTTGCTTCGTATGTGTTCAAAAACTTACATGAAACTCTTTCTTTTACCTTTCTTGTTCTGATTTCATTAAGTTTTTGTCATGAAACTTGTTTTAGTTGAGATTTAACTGATGAAATGATTTCTTTTTTCTGTGGACAGTGTGATTGGAGAAGTGGTTATGGTGAATTCGATACAGAACCTCTTTTCGGCTATAGAGCCGATGCTTAGACGAGTGGTATGTTAATTTATTCATGCTCATGAAACTGTTTGATTCTTAAACTTAAATATATGCAACTACTTGAACAAGTTACACTTAAATATTCATGATTTTATGTATATATTTGTATGATAATACATACAATTGTTATTTTATGTATCCATAGAGCTGTCTATTAATCTTTTAAGTTTGTAATAATTCATTTCATCATCAGCAAATTGAAAGCTCTTTGACTGGTAAAATCTCAGCAAAACCCTATGGAAACACGTGATAATAATTAATACATAAGAAAAGAACACTAAGATATAATCAATTTGATTTATTCTAATGATTAATTATCTTCACGTCAATGATAATTATCAGGTGAATGAAGAAGTAGAGCGAGGTGTAAGGCAAAGTTTCCGTTCTTTAACTCGGTCTCCATCCCTGCGTATTCAAGCTCTTGAACCTTCAAGCCTGAAACTAATCTTCAGCAAGAAGCTATCTCTCCCAATATTCACCGGCAGCAAGATCACAGCCGTCGACAACAACCCACTGCAGGTCGTCCTCGTCGACACCAGAGGCGGCCACATGGTTCCGACCAGTCTCCCTCAGCCAATCAAAATAGATATCGTTGTTCTTGACGGAGACTTCGCCACAGGGGAGGGCGATAGCTGGACCAGTGAAGACTTTGAAAGTAAGATAGTGAAGGAGAGAACCGGCAAGCGGCCTTTGCTCACCGGAGAAGTGAGTAATATCACCATGAGAGACGGGTTTGCACCAATCGGAGATATTGAATTCACAGACAACTCGAGCTGGATTCGGAGCCGCAAATTCAGAATTGGTGTTAAAGTTGTAGCAGGAAATTCTCAGGGAATCAGAATCCGCGAAGCCATTACTGAAGCTTTTGTTGTGAAAGATCACCGTGGAGAATGTGAGTTTTTACTATTTCCTTTTTTAATTATTATTTGCAGTTAACTTGGAATAGAATCTCATACTTGCATAATTAATTGGAAGATAAATTAGGATAATCATTCATTATCAGATTACTTTGTCATTCTAGCTGGGGTTTATGTATAGATTACGCATATTTCTTATGTTAAAAGAAAGAGTTTGCTTTAGCTCAATGATGGGTTAATTATATATTAAATTAATGAACTGGGGGCATAAATTCCTACCAAACTAGAACATGTTTTTGTGTACTTGCATCTTGACCTTTTACATAATTTTATATTATCAATTTGTAATCTTAAAACTCGTTAATTGCATTTGTTTAATACTGGTTGGTGAGAACTGCTGGTCTAGTTTGAGTTCTTTCAATCATAGTTTAAGCGGGATCTATTCATTCAGTCAAACCCTTTCACTAAATCTAACAAAACCACCCCAACTTTCGCTTCAAAACTATTATAAAAACACATCACAATTTTCTTATTTAAAATAAAGATTCTAACTATGAGTTCATTAGTTTGGTAAGAAAAAAATCTTCCCTGAGATGACATTGTATGTTTCTGTAAATTACAATAAAACACATAACATATGTATTTTATGTGTATGTTGTAATTGGACGAACACACATAGACTTATATAGATTAAATATTTAAAATTCTAAAATTTATTCAAACAGCTAAACCAAACATATTGATGTTATTAAGTGATATTAAGGGATAGAATCTTTCAACTTAAAATTTTGATTAAATTTTTTACATAAATTTTCAATGGTGTATTAAATACAATCCAAATAGTACAGGAGTTCTTAGATAGCAAACATAATAATTATCTCCAAACTCTTTATTGGATTGTAAAATATCAAACGCTGAAGAATTGTGTCTCAATTTAAGTTAAAATTTTTTGTCTCGTTAATTATTTTGTGCATATTTAATTAATAGCTTTATATAAAAGATTTTGACTATTATTCCATCATTAGCTTTAAGTGAAATTAATAGTATAACCTTACAAATTTAGATTTAAAAGGGATTGATTTATGATTGAGTCCATTAATGGCTTTTGATGTGTGGTGACCGTAATACCACGTTTAATCGAATAGGTTAAACCTTAATTTCGCTTTCAAACTCTGCTCAAAACCCATTAATCAAACTTTGACTTTCCAGTCAAACAAAAGATAAAAAGATTTGTAAGTTCATTCAATAAGGCCAAAAACATGGTCCACAGCATGAGGCTACAACTTTAGAGCCACATGTTCAAACCCTGCTTGATGATTCTTACCGTCTGATGTAAAGAGACTTATTCTTTAGATTTGATATTCTCTTCATTTCTTTCACATCCGGCCGGCTCTCTCTGGTCTCTGGTCAATGGATTTAATAACTTTTAATATTTGGTCACAATCTCGCATTGACTAGAGAATTACAATACACATTATCATTGTCAATATTTATTTTTATTTTATTTATTGAATCATCAAATTTAGTTTCCTAATTTTATTTTTATTTATATATTTTTGCAATATGAAGTGTACAAGAAGCATCATCCACCAATGTTGCACGATGAAGTGTGGCGTCTTGAGAAAATTGGGAAAGATGGAGCTTTTCATAAGAAGCTTTCTACTGCAGGCATCAAGTCAGTTCAAGATTTCTTGAAATTTTCAATTGTGGATCCACGAGGGCTTAGAGCGGTAAATAATTTACTCATTAAAATGTCAAAATTTTATCTTATTGCTTCAATTTAAGTGTTATTATTAGAACTAATTAATTTCTTTCTATAATTTTTATCAGATTTTGGGTCCTGGAATGTCTGAGAAAATGTGGGAAGTGACATATAAGCATGCAACAACATGTGTTATGGGCAACAAACTTCATATTTATCGTGGAAACAATTGCACCATCACCTTAAATCCGATTTGTCAAGTTGTTAGGGCAGTGATTAATGGTCAAATATATCCTACTCGCGAACTGTCGACCTCTATTAGGGTATGATTTCTACTAAAATATAGATTGTTTTTTCAATTCTCAGGATGCAACTGTCAAAAGTGTTTTTATAGAAAACGTTGTAAAATTATTCTTTGGTTTTTGCAGCGCTATATAGAGAATTTGGTGAAAGAAGCATATATAAAGTGGCATTCACTAGAAGTGGTTGAAGGAGGTTTGAATGAGACAGCCCTTTTGACGCAAGGTACTCATAAATTCTCTATTGCCAACAGATTCACTACAATTGAATGCATAAATTTTTGTTCCCTCTTAACATATTTCTTGAAAATTCACAGGTGAACTTGTGGATCAATATCCCAATAACAATCTGGCCATGTTAAGATCTGTGGAACAAAATGTTTACTCAACTGACAGAGCTTTCGACCTTGCGTACCTCACGAGCATTTCACATCCAGGCTGTAATGACTGGCAAATTCAAACTACACATCCATCTATTGGATTTCCCATCTCTGAGTCATCGTCCGATGGTGATTTAACACCTACCTCGAGATCCTTCATCAATGGGAATTAATGGTATCGAAAAATCTAGTCGAAACAGGTCAATAATTTGTACGTTGATCGATGAAAATGATGTTCCGTATATATTTATTTTCTTTTTTTAACTATCTAACTAACGTTATAGTTAGTAGTATTGAAAATAAATATAGATGAAACAAATTTTTTTCAGATGTACATACGGATGAATGACCTGTTTGACCTAAAATTCACTAAGTGTGCAAAGAGATGTTGATGGGCTTGGATTGCAAATTCGGGACAACTTCTTTTTAGGGCAATAATATAGTAAGAAGTGTGCAATAATATAGGAAGAAGTGTTTTGGCATTGGGGTATGAAAATGTGATTTGCTTGAAGGCGAGTCCCCCCAATTGCAATCTTTTTAAGCTTTTCCTGCTTATTGCAATACGTTTGTGTATATAAAGAATGAAATGTAAAGGCAGATGAATTGCTGAAAAGGAAATTAGCCAGCGTTCTTAGAAGTATTTCTAATTATTTGCAATTTTCAATAGTAAACTAGCACTTAGCTATATTATATATATACATCTACCTTTGGGCGGGCTCATATTATAGGCTTAAAAGGACAGGGCTTAAGATAATTTTTGGGCCCCTATCTTCTGAGCCGGTTTTTGGGCCTAAATGAGCTGAATTAAAATTTGTAACATGCTAATTGACTTTGCTATCTTCTTCCCTTTCTTAATTGGACTATATGGAAGCCCAAATAAACTCGGACATAATATTGTTTTAGATTGTGACCAGAATATATTTAATTGATTTAGGAGATGCCATGAATCCCCAATGCCACTTCCCTGTTCTTTCCTAAATTATCAGTTTGATGTAAACTATTCACATTTTAATCAAACACCTCCAAAAATTAACGACAGTTCATCAATAACCGCCCTAGTCTTTAACTCTTTTATTTTGATCAGAGTAGTTCTTGATGAATTTTGGTAAACTTTTAGAATTGGTTGATTGAAACATGAATAGTTAGTTATCATCTGACTATGATATATCAAATAACAGGGAAGGTAATTGAGTTTTGGCCGATTATAAAATCTTTGTTATATATTTGGGGCTGTTACTGATTTGAATAAGTTAAAAATTTCTTCTTTAAAATGTTTCTCTGCTAATAGACTCTTGTGGGTTTACCGGTTTAGTAGGATGTTTAGAAAGGTGGTTTGTTCCCACAAAGCCTAAGACACAAGTCCCTTCATGGACATTTACTCGATCAAAAGTCATATGAGACGACTAATTGACACTTACATGATCAAAAGCCATATGACAAAGTTCGGTGGAGACTACAGTTTCAAACTCGAACTTGTAAAGTAAGTACATGAAATTTCTTGATTGTAAAAAAAAAAAATTGTTCCTCCGCCATTAACGCCATCAAATTTTTTCCACATTTTTTTCTCATGTGCGTCGTCGAATGTAGTATTGAATGTTTCATGTCCTTTCTGGGGAAACGACAGCCCTTCACTGTTCCCTCTGTGGTCGACAAGAATTCGAGCTCAAATGTCAAGGCACTGACACCCTGTAATAGAATCTCCACCTCAAAAGTTTCAGGTTTTAGACATCAATACAACTAATGGAACAATGACAAATTGACAATGGCAAGAGATGACCTGATTAATACGGTTAGTGTTTTTCCTGGAAGATTCGACAACACTACTTTCAACCAATTTCTCTTCAATTACAGTCCAAACGTTCGGAACCTCAGTTTATTCTAACATTGCAGCGATGAGTTGCTGCCGGCCGGGTTCAAATAATTATGGCTGTCAAGTGGAAGTGAAGAGAGGATAGGCTTTTACACAATCGATGACGAATTGGGATACTTTTCGAATTTTACAGGCACATGTACGGAGGTTATTGAAGTCCCAGTATTATTTACAGCTCTGGATATGATTAAACTTCTTGAGAACGGAAAATGGCTGAGACTCAAAGTTATATACAATTGCTAATAAACTGTGCTTTTGAGTTTGGTTGAGTATTAGTATCTGATTATTACACAATGCTAAAATCTCAAGTTATATACAAGTTGAAGTTCTACAAGAAATACTATAAAGATGTTAAGTTCTAACCAGATCATTACTTTGAATGGTACAGGTGCTAAATTGAACTGGAGGGTGAAGATGGTGGGTATGTTTTATGTTTTATATCTACAATGTTTCACTGCATTTTCTATTCAAATATAAAAAATCTTTACAGAAGAACAAAGATTGATTAATTACATGTTGTGACAGGCATTGGTGCTGCAATAATCGGAATGATCATCTGTTCTATCATTATGTGCTTATACCACAAGAAGAAAATCTCATCAAATATATCAAAATCCATTTTAAGAAATCGAACAAAGAACAATCAAGATATTGAGGCCTTCATTCGAGATTATGGACCTGAAGTTCCCAAACGGTGCAACTTTTCAGATGTAAAGAAAATGACCAACTTATTCAAAGATAAACTAGGCCAGGGAGGTTATGGTGGCGTGTACAAAGGTGAGTTATCGGATGGACATATTGTAGCTGTGAAGCTCCTAAATACAACCAAAGAGAATGGCCAACAATTCATTAAAGAAGTTCCAAGCATCAGTAGAACATCCCATGTTAATATTGTCACACTATTGGGGTTTTGTTTAGAGGGTGACAAGAGAGCTCTTATCTATGAATTCATGCCCAATGGATCACTTGAAAAATTTGTATACAAAGGGAAACTATGAAGGCTAATCAATATTTAGGATGGGAAAATATATATGAAATTGCAATAGGAATAGCCAGAGGATTAGAGTACTTACATCGTGGGTGCAACACAAAGATTTTGCATTTTGACATAGAACTTTATAACATTCTTTTTGACGAAATTTTTTGTCCCAAGATTTTTGATTTCGGTCTTGCAAAGCTATGCCATAAAAAAGAGAGTAATGTATCGATGTTGGAGGCTAGAGGGACAATTGGGTATATTGCTCTAGAACTATTTAGTAAGAACTTTAGAGAAGTTTCTCGACAGTCTAATGTTTACAGCTATAGAATGATGGTCGGAAGAAGGAAAACCCTTGATATTGAAGTGGTAGAGACTAGTGAAATATATTTTCCACATTGAATATACAAGCATGTGGAGCAGAGCAAATAATTAAAATGGCATGGTGTTAGTAGCAGCGAGGAGAATGAAATTGTAAGGAAGATGATTATGGTTGGTTTGTGGCGCATACTGAAGCTTTGCAAATTCTAACAAAGCTTTCTTATCTTCTCCTACAAGACTATCAATATATTCTTCCCATACACCTATATCATGACATAATCCTTAGAAAATACTTACAAGGGTTTCTTTGGCTCCGTTTGGTTGCCAATTGGGAATACTACTTTTAGTATTCCCAAAAAAGTTAAACAGTAAAATACCCAAAAACTCACAATATTATTCAACTTTATTCAACATTTTTTAAACCCCCTAAATTTGTTAATTCAATTAAATACCCCTAAATATTTTTAATGTTTTTTGTTTACAGCAACTCCGGCCCCCCTCCAGCAGTGGCGGCTGTCCGTATTTGACATTGGGTTGGGGTGTTTTTTGTTAACTTTTAAGATTTTATTATAGGGGATGTTTGTAAAGAACAAATATGGGGGTATTTTATTAATTTATAAATCCTACATCGTAATACCCGCCCAATTCAACTTTTTTTTTACTTTTTCAAAAAACTTTTCTCAAAAACACCCAATTGTAAACCAACGGAGCCTTTATTGTCTATATTTTTGAGATGGCAAATTCCACAGAGCCTCTCCTATCTTCTTCAAGACTACCAATAATTCTTCAACCACTTCATATAAGAGTATGCATCATCTTCATATCAATTTCAGTTACTACAGCGAGTCAAAGCTTAGTTTTAGGATAAAATTTTCTCATTTTTTATAAAAGATTATTTAGAATCAACAAACTTGTTAAATTGGTACTGAAATAATCGAATGAATCAAGCTCTTGAGATTCAAATCCTATGTCATTCTTATTGATCAAAGCCACAAGCTCAAACGAGAAACAAGCAAAAGAGTTGCCATGGATGAAGAGGATTCTCAATATATGTTCTGTTATGCCTGGGAAATCAAGGGCTGACGTGAGAAATCACGTGATGGGGGTGACCTGCTCCCGTCAGAATGGTAGCACACGTCAAGCCTGCAAGACGCCGTGGAGCTCCACGTGTCCATTTCCTGCTCCAAATCGCGTGAATCAGCTTAGAAGGTGGGCAATGTGACGTAAAGCCGGATTTAGTCCTGACATTCACACCAACCCACGGATTTAATATGATTATCTATACTCATCTCACTATAAAAAGGAAATACCCCTTCATTGAGGATTCGACCTTTTAACACTCGAACTAGCTTTCTCTCTCTTTGGTATCTTGTATTTACTTTTCCCTAATCATTTGTAAGTCAATCCGCTGTTGCGACCTGACCCGATTCTAATACAACTATCAGTGGACGTAGGATTTGCACCTGAGCATCCGAACCACTTTAAAAAGCTCTCATTGTTGCATTACTCTACATTTCATCCATAATCACGTGTGTCTCTTGATCAATACGTTACACACGTTCGATTAGTTGGTGTCAAAAATACCATCAACATGTCAAACCATCTTCTTGTGTTATCTGAAGAAGTTGTTACGGATTTAAAACAAGGTGCTTTATTAATTTTCTCTCCGCAACTTACTTGCCATTAATGCAAAAAATTGTGTCTTCCCTCTTAACATATTGTACAAAAATTCACAGCCGAACTGGTGGATCATATCTCAATAATGATCTCGTCATTGGAATTAATGGTACAGAAAAATCTCCAATTAAGAGTAAATTAAAATAGAATATAGGCGGATGAATTGCAAAATGATTGGACTTGAAGTACGCATACCAGTTGTATCATGCTATTGTCGGTAGCATACTTGCTATAAAATTTAATTTTTGTTGGCAGCCTATGAGCGGGCTAAATTACAGGCTCGAAGGACAGGCTTAAGATGTCCTCAGGCCTGTAACTTCTGGGCCAGGTTCTGGCCATTGGCCTGTAAATTGGCCCGACTTTTACTAGGAAAAAGGGACAAGAAATGAATGCGTATTTTTTTGACGAATTTCGTGAATTTTTCTTTTGATTTTTGAAAATATTGACAATGTTTGAAAAAATGAACACCGCTCAATATATTTGTTTCAAATTGTATTAAAAATGAGAAAAGTAAAAACGTATTTGGTATACTTGTCTAAAATAAAAAACAATTTTAACTTACACAATCGATTTAACCCATAATGTGTATATACCGTTCATTCCTTTTGTCAAAATATTTTTTAAAAGAAAACAAAGGAAAATACAAGGAAGATGTGATAAATAAATTTTATTTTTTTATATAAGTGGAGCCCACCTCTCTTTTCTAGTATAAAATTGGCAAAAATGCTAACCGAACAAATATTTGCGGTCTCCCATACAAGGAAGGTGAAAATAAAATGGAAAAACTATAATCGAAAACCATCCAATTTTTACTACACCAGATAAATTTTCATGAAAACTATTTAGGGTTGTGATTTTGCCCCATTCTTTTTTAATAAATATCATTTTTTTTTAATTTCCAATTTTGACAAGTTTAATCTTAAATTAAATTATTTTAGAAGACATTACAGTTATGAGGTATATATCAGTTTAGTTTTAATTAGCCACCCATATTTATC